TTCAACGGTTATACCTAAGTTGGACAAAATGTTCGCAACGCATGGCATACCAGATACGTTAAAAACGGACAATGGCCCTCCTTTTAACGGAGAAGAATATCGACGATATATTCGAGCGTTGGGAATTAAAGTATTATATTCCACACCATATTGGCCGCAAGGTAATAGCGAAGCCGAACGATTCATGCAGCCCTTAGGCAAAGCTTTAAGAACTGCTAAAGCCGAAGGAAGACCGTGGAGACAAGAGCTAAACAGGTTTCTACTTCAATACAGAACAACGCCACATTTGACTACCAAAGTACCACCGTCGGAGTTAATATTCAATCGTGTGGTAAAAGGCAAACTTCCAATGATCAGTAAACGTAACATTGTGAACAGACACAAACAAGCACGAGAGAATGACAAGGCAGGACAAGAGTATAACAAGCAGTACGCAGACAATCGTCGGAAAACTAAACATCGTAACATCGCTGTCGGTGATTGTGTTTTGGTTAGACAGAGAAAACAAAACAAGCTGACAACAAATTTTGACACCACACCATATCGTGTTATAGGAACAAACAGATCGCAAGTTACAGCACAAAGTAAAGATGGACACAAAATAACAAGAAACGTGTCACACTTTAAACGTATCCCCGGGAAAAAAGTAGAGGTAGATACTGACGTCGATGACGAAGAGTATAAAGGAAAAGATGCAGAGAATGCGAAGGCAGGACAGAACAATTCTCAATCGACACCCGAAGTTCCAGTGAACATAGCTAGGAGATCAACGAGAGACAGAAGAGCACCGCAAAGATACGGTAACCCATTAATGTGGAAATAAACACTTTCTCAAAAAAGGGGAGTGATGTAATATACAGATAATACAATATATATTAATAACTAATTATAATACTAAAATAGAGATGATTGACATTATGTTGACAGGACTAATTAAGGAGGTAGATAGAACAAGAGAGTATGGTAGTAGGGTTAAGAAATATACAAGATTTAGAATAGAAGATACATACAGAAAGAATATTACAAGCGGTTTATTTGTGTTGCTATACGTACGATCACTACGATGGTATATGCATATTTGGAAGTTGTTGATACGCTTTTTCCCAGAAATAGGATAAATGAAAAACGTCAGCGTCGTAGCCATTTTTTATTAAATATTGTTCGAATGCTACACAGCTTTGGTACTCAGATCTTATACTCATGAATTTGTTACAGTTATTTTAGTGTAACAGATAGCTACGCGCTTATTCATATCCGATTCCGAGAGACCTGGATGTTGATTCGTTGGTTTGATTCCAGGAAAACGAATACTGAGAATTAGGAAATGTTGAAAGACCCCTGCTGTGTACGAGCTAAAGCCTCACCAAAGAGTGTTTCTTCATCTTTTTTATTTTTGGGTCAAAACATGTCTTGGAATGAAGTTCAAGGAAACGTTTAGCAGCAGAGAAAAGCGTGCTAGATCATTTCTTTCCTGGTTGTGTGAAATGGATCGACCCTATGGGCGATACAAAGGTGGAAGTGAAATTGAAAACGAACAACGACAACGAATACACTCTCAGGATCTACATCGGCAATTTTCCAAATTCAGTTCCTGATATGGTCGTTGTTTCTTCGCCCAATCCGATGCCTAATTGGGATGCCTAGTTACTCCAATCACACTTTAGCGAGAAGAGACGGGTTTTTAACAATATGCCACTATCAGCCAATGAACTACTTTCTTCGTTAAATGAATGGCTAGATTTTAAGGCTTAAAATACTGATAAATTTATATATACTTAAATATAGTAACGAAGTATATACATTGAATATTAATCTTGTAAGTTTGCATGGTGACATCAAATAAGTAAATTAGATTGTAGGTACTCACGTACGTATTAATTTAATACCGCAAAGCTTTCGTTCCGTTAACGGTTAACCTGGGCCTTCATCAGTGCAATTGGAAATGAGAAATCGGACCGAAAGCTTTGCAGTATTAAATACTTATGTGATGTACCTACAAGCTAATTTACGTGAGTGGCCATTGACCCCAGTCACCCCACGCGGAACTAAAGAGCTTAAATAATGACGTCTAGCTTTTTTCTCGAGAGTAAAAGACTCCGATAGCGATGTATCTATTTTGTATTGTATTTATATGATCTTTACCCGAATAATAATTATTCCGAGAAAAGGTTTCGTTTTTTGTTCTTATAGAAAAATCTGTCCTAATATATGTGTATTGTGGTATAAAAATGTGATCTAGCTTATAGATAAATCATTAATCAATAAATGAGGCGATACTTTATATTGCAAACAGTTTTTAATAGTTCTCGTCGAGATAAATCGTCACCATGCAGCTTTTGCAAAATGTATAAAATTCAATCTCATGCAAAGTAAAAGTGATACTGCATCAATGTGTCTGCGTTGCCATAATTAATTTCGTTTTTATATCGCTTTATAGCATAGTATCTGAACTATCAGCAGTACAAGCAACTACAATAGTCGGTAGATAAAATTTTACAAACGATTGTAACTCTATTAGAAGCAAGGAACATCGTCATATTTTAGCCCATGGGCTATAAAACTATAGTAATCGTGTTAGATCAGTTGTATATACAATTGAAAGATTTGTATAGCTATAGACTATACTATATGTTGGCTATCTTCATTTAGACAGCGGTCCAATTTTACTCATGTTCTGAATGTACACACTCCAGTCTGCTGTCATAGACAAAGGATGAACCGATGAAGAATCCTTCACGAGCCATATCAACTCCTATGAATTTATCAACGGCTTGTTCAGGTGTCACTGCGAGTAGTTTCTTTTTATCCGGATCGAATACGAGTCTTGTTCTTCCTCCACCTCCTGTGCCTTCCCATTTGCCAGTTTGAAGATTGAAATTCCCAGGAAGGGAAGCGTTCTCGTGAAGTGTATTTTGAACAGCCTGTGGATCTGAACTCATTATGAAACTGGCATAGATAATATTCTCACAGTAGTGTATTGACCACAGGGGAGATGTTTGGCGAATAAAGCCTCAGTGCTGTCTTCAAAATCTTTCTTGGCTAAAGTTAATCTGTGCTATAACTTGGCGTATCTCTTTGGATATCTTCAATTACTTGCGCTAGCTATCACCGAACTTTTCGCACAGCAGTTAGTCCTGAAGACGCAAGACAGAGATGATGGCTTGGCAACCAGTCCGGCCGCGAGTAGGAAATAACCACTGACCAGTCATCTTTCATTACAGATTTTTATTTATCAAACTCACTGTGAGCCCACGATCAAATTCAAGCAATACTCAGCAGTTCTATGCAACAATAAAGACTGTACAATAAAATAAATGAAAGTATACAACTACATACATTTATATACATATAAGGCCATATAACAAATATGTGCTACTAATATAATCTGCATGGCCGTAGTTGCTGAAGTTCGTTTAAAAGACTCTGATAATATTGACGAGGTCATTCCTCGGATAAACTTAGTCATGGATAATAATTATTAATAAAAATAAAATCCATCCTCTGCCATTCCCAGATAAATCTGGTTATCAACATTGAATTCCGTCTCTCCTGCAGCGAGAACCAAGACACGTCTTTCTGTTGCTTTCGCTCGTTCATTTGTTGTTGTCTTCGCTACGTGAAAGGAATCCTCGTCCGTGCTATCAATGCCTGCACAATCTTTTATATCTTCCTTCGGTTTCTCAAGTTCACCTGCTCTCAGTGTATTTGGTACGCGAGGTATTTCCTTATCGTTGTCGTGAACAGCTGCTACACACTCATTTGTATTTTCTTCCAGTTTCTCAATTCCAGCTGTTCTCGTATTTGCCTTTGGGTTTGGTTGGCGAAGAATCTCTTCAACCTCTTCTTCAACGCTGTCGTAAATATCAAAATATTCCTCTATATTTTTACCCGGCTTTTCTAGCTTATCTGTCCGTGTATTCGGTTCGTGAAGGAGCTTCTCGTTGTTGCTGAGATGAATATTTTTATTTCCTGAATCGACGGTAAACAGCTCTCCAGTTTCAGTGTCAAAGACCATCTTAGTTCCTGCAGGAAGAAAATCAATCTTTCCTTTAGCGATGTTAAAAAACATCATCATGTGTTCGCTTTCCTCACCAGCAACTGGAATAGCTTTAATGTCACCGTGAGGTCCATACGCCATTGTATATTTGTGTATATTAAAGATTAAATTACATGCAACTAAGTTGTTTCAGATTTAATAGACATGGTTGATGGTTTATACAACGGATGAAATAATCCTGGCGTAATGAAGGCACGCATAATAAAAAACAGACTAGCTGTTTGCTGTTGTTATGGCTGCTAACTAATGCATAAATTTTCTCGTAAACAATTGAGTTGTATGTGTTAAACACACTTGTATATGTGTTTATAAAGACGAGCTTCACGTTCCCTGTGAACCTGCCTTACAAGCCCTTACTTTATTTCATAATACACTAGATATTTATTCCGTTACTATATTTTATATGAACAAAATTGTCGCATAAAAATTATAAGTATTTGTTTAGTTTCACTTTAATAAATTTGCATGCTTTTTGAACCTCAGTTATTCTTGGAATCCGTGAAGTTATTACTTGGAATTTATCTCCGAATAGTCGACTAGTCGTTAAAATGTACCATGACAAAGAAATCACATTTTTGGTGGAAGGTCGAAACTCGAAAGTTTGTTGTACTATAGTCATAACTAAATGGTGATCTCCTTGCAGTTATAGCTTCCGAGTTCTCTCTCATTAAAACTTCAGCGACAGCGAAGTCTAGTATAAAATTGAGCGCACAATCATTAGAATGGTGGACAATTTGAGCTGACTGAGTTACAGCAAGTTGCAATAAAACACCACTGTTTACGACGACCCCCCCCCCGGTGGTTTTTCCAGGAAGTCCGGATACGTTTTCTGTGATAAAATAGTGAAAGTAAATGTTAGCGCTTTGATCTGTTGTTGATACAAAGAGGGCTGTGATATTTTGCCTTATATCGTTAGTTAAAGACCACGCAGATTTTACTAATAATGCCTTGGAGACCTAGCCAGCAAAATCGTCTGGTGACGGAAAAAAGTATTTTAGAAAAATTCTTTCCTGGTCGAGTTCAGTGGATAGAACCACAAGGTGACACAAAAGTTGAAGTTTCGCTCAACACAAACAATGACCATCAATACCGCGTGAGAATATATTTGAACGACGACTTCCCAAATTCTCTACCAGATATGGTGGGTTTTCGGTTGAATTTTCTAATTTCTACGAAACTGCACGAATAGTATACGAGCATCCAACCTCGTGACCTAATGTTTGGAGGCCGAATTGTTTGTTGTGCCGGATTTATACTAGAGATGGATCGTCCGTCTGGACGAACTTGGGCAAGCGAAAGGTAGTTCGTCTTCTAGTTCGTCTGTGTATAAACACGGGCAAACAGACGGATCATCCGTCAAGACGAATTATCTGCGTAGTTCGTCTATTAGACGAACTTGCATGCGTAGTTCGTCTGGACGGATCTGGACGGATCATCCGTCTGTGAGTATAAATACGGCACGTGAAAGAACTACGGAATAACCGATACTTCGTTTTTCGCATTCAGCGGATTTCGCCAAAAAATCCAATATGACATAGTTCGTCTAGATAGTTCGTCTTGTGTTTATACTTAGACGGATGATCCGATGATACGTCTCTAGTATAAATCGGGCCATTAACGAATAATTATCCCCAGTTCCTTCTCTCTGCACAATGACCTTTCATGCTCATGTCAAGTACTGTCAAAATTAACCATTTATATAGGTGATATGTTCATCACCCAAACCAATGCCACCATGGGGGTTTGATGCTTATAAGCATACCTTGGGTTATCGTGATAACCTGTTGAAGATTTGTCATTCCAATGCACCACACTGGACTGACCGTGATACTCTGTATAAAGTCGTGATGAAAGGGAGGTTGTGGTTGGAGGCATACGAGGCATATTTGGAGACAGGCGCCTGCCTTAGTGAATATCTGGTTGAGATGGCATAGACGAAAGCGAGACACAGAATTAAATTAAATTTCTCTTGAAAATATAGGCTCTGCAGTTTAAGTTGTCACTACAAGTGATTCACATTGATTATAATAGGGGTCTGATGAAGCCGTAATTGATACAATTGTGAAACTGGGACGCTATATATTGCCTATATAATGCTATTCCCTTTGGCTTTGACCAATTTGTTCGCGGCAAAAACATTAATTTCAGCAATTGCCCTAACAAACGGTTAAATCGCACAAGGAAAGGATGACAATGTGTTGCTGCAAGCCTGCAAACAGCTGCGCAAGACATGGTAAAAAGTGTTATAGCTACAGCAAGTTGATAGCTTGCTCAATACGAAAACTCAAACAATAAAATAGATTGGTCGAAATAATGCATTTTAAGTTTTATGGTTTGATAACATGCATTTTAGACAACGTGCGGTTGGTGAACAGTGCTTGCGAAAACATTGATACATGCAACAATAAACAACAAAGATATATAGTGATAATGATTGAATCAATATTACAATGTTACAACTTATATTTATATAAGGCCTCATGCAGAGTTAATGAATACCAAACTGTTTCACGATAAATGAAGATTGAGTCCAAATGTATAAATCAATAAATCAATTAATGTCTTTAAAATACTCTAAAATAAACTACATTCACGATAACACGACACTGATATATGTTTGTGTCTTACAAGAATATATATGTCAAAGCAGTTTCTATCATTGCATGTTTATATCTTCTTTTCAATGATAAACAAAATAGAGTAATAATTTTGGAATACGAAGTAATATTGTTGTCTCTGTTTAATAAAGATTAAATGTTAGTGCGCTGTCTCAAATCTTCTTAAAATCCCCTTGACTAGTTACATATAATTACGTTTTATCGGCTCCATGCTTCAATACCTTTTAGATTATCGAGTTTTTTACCTAAATCTCTCTTTCTTTCCTCAGCAATTCGTCGGATTCCTCTTTGAGCTTCTTTCATATCATTTTTTAATTCTCGTCTTACTTCCTCCATTTTTGCTCGGTCTATGCTTGGATCTAATGGTATTATTCGTTGCAGACGAACCACTCCATCAAGTAAATACCTTTGTGAAACTTCGACGTACAGACCTGAGACATTTTCCACCGTACGAGCGATAAGCTGGGCGTCGCTGGACTCCTGAATGATCATCTGGTGCGTAATATTAGTGATACTCTGACCATAATTAAGCTCTTCGTTGGCAATATTACCTACGTCAACAAATCGTTTCACATCTCCTTTAAGACGTTCTCCGATTACGTCATGAAGAACTTGGAACATGTTCTGGAATTTCTTCCAATGTTCGATTACCATTTGCAACGCCTTCATGCTCTTGATAAGGGCATCTCGAATTTTATTCAGGTCGATGGTTCTGTGATCAAACTTGGCGAGCTCGTCTAGGACGTTTTCCATTTCCTTTGATTCCTGCAGCATCTGATTATAACAACGTTCATAGCGGCTGTAACATTCTAGCAACATTTCTTTAGCCTCCCTCTATATTAAAGATGGATTTGTGTACAATGTAAGTATCTAACGCTTGTAGGCGGGACTCGGGAGGCCAAAAAATATTCCTCTTCCATTTTTTAACACGCGAAGGTTCCAATGTGTCCTTTTACGAAATCAGTCAATCCCAGCCTTGCATGCAGTTAATATATGTTATTAAATATAATCAATTTATAGCTAGCATCAAATGTGGTATAACAGCTGCCTAAAATAGACAAAACACTTCTCGATGTTTCGACCTGAGGGCCTTCGTCAGGAGAGTTATAGTTAGTAAATTTTTACTTTAATAAATTTGCCTCAATTAAAATGGTCTAGAATAGTCATGTGACTCATGTGCATGACTTTGTTTTATATGTTCAAAGCGCCAATATATAAGTTTACGAAAATGCACATGGCCGGAGGCATAAAACCTTCTGAAGTCACACTCACACTTGCTTCTATGGCCACTTCTAGGTCTAAAAATGCATTTGAGTACAAAGTAAGAACATGCAATGTTCAATACATGTATAATTTCTTACCCGTTTTTTCTCCGCATCTTCCAGCATCGTTTTAGTTAAGAATCCTTGATTTTTTAGATCACTTCCACTCTCGTGTGTTGGTCCCAAATTTTCCAGATAGTATTCAGCTTCGTTGGAAAACGCTCTCCCTTTCTTGTAGAACATTTCAATTCGATCTTTAACGGCTGGCTGAATGGTTTGTTCGCCTGCTTCCCAAATCTCATTGCATATCTGCATACCGTTTTCACACAATTCCTTGGCAATCTTAACGGCCTCGGCATTACTTTTGGGTGCATTTACATTAAGATCACGCAACATTCTTTCTAACGATGTGATCACCCTGTCGATATCGTCTTGGGCAACGCTTTCCGAGAACATCAACTGTTTTGCTTGTTCAAAAATATCGCTGGCTGCAAGATACGCGTTTGCTTCGTCATTTGAAATCTCAGGCGTCGGCGAAATTGGTTCGGCTGAATTGCTGGTTGAACTCTATAATTATCACAAGGAAATAATATAGAATGGGGAATTCCTAATCGGGAAAGTTCGCCATATTAAACAAGCACATGATAAACGCTATACGTAATGTTAATATCTACAAAAAATGAAAGCTCTTATATATTATGATACATTGCATACCGAACCCGTCGGAATTCCTTGTCCCATCAAAAATGCCGGTAAAAGTGCGATCGCGATGTCGTGAGCAAAGCCCGCAACCCCATCAATGGATCCAACAAGCATGATTTTCCATGGTGCTGGATAGGTCTCGACTGCATTTTTGTAATTCTGCTTTGCTTCTTCAATCTCACTTTTTTCTTGCTTACATCTTTCTTCGAGCAGCCTTTTATCCTGTTGTATTTGCTCTTGCTTTCTACGAGCTGCCTCCATTTTGCGGCTGGTTGCTTTCCTTTCTTCTTCGTACTTACCCTTCGACTGTGTGCAGGCTTGGAAAAGCTCATCCATTATACTGGCGACTTTCTCAAATTCATTCGTTATGGAGGCAGCAGTTTCCACGCATTCAGTGCACTTCTTGTCAGAGTCCTGTAAATACATTTCGACGTTTTTCGATTCTTTTTGAGCACCTTTTTTAATTAATTCCGCTGCCTTTTTCACGTTTGTAGCGATGGTTTGAGATTTCATGTAAATACGATTCATACTATTGTGTGCTGCCTCAAAGGCGTGCCAGATACCCATAGACACCTGAGTTGCACATGCGCGGAACGAATCTGGAAACTTGATATGTTGAAACTTTGCGTTGCCCAAATGCTCTCTTAAACTGAAATCTTGTTCTGCCGAGATAAGTAACAAATGACCCATCGATGTGATTATATATGGCGCTTGACTTAAAGCATTGTAGTTAATTAGGTTAGGATCAAGTATGATCGCCATTCTGTCGTCATCATCTACGACGGGAGTTGCCTGTTCAATCAAATCTTCCATAGCTGGCCCTTTCGATCTGTTGGATCGCAAAAATATTGTTTACAAATTTACCCATTGTGCATCAACAATCTACACTTTACCAATGAAATATAACATAAAGTAACATAAAAAGGACAAAAGAATAAAAAAGAGTGGCTATCGACTGGCTATATATCTCCAACAGCGTCAGGTAATTATACGCGCGGGATAGACAAATCTATCAAGAAAATGGACATCTTAAAAAGAATGCATGGAGGATAAAAATATGCAGGTCTATATTCAACGAAAAATATTTAGAATTCTTTATTTTCTTGTACGAATATTTTTATGAAAATTGTTTGATTGTTTAGCTATACCCTGCTGGGTGATCGAGTAGTTTTAGAACTGTATTTTGAAATGTTAGTATAGTCTCCCTTGGAGCCGCACTTTCTCACACAAAGCCAAAGGCCGACTGCTAAGCGGACTACTGTGAGGTTAATAAGATAGCATTTTCGATAAAAAGGCCGCCTTTTCAGTCCCCGACAATGTTTACTAGTTTAGGCCCGTTTCAGACGTCGAACTTTTCATGTGCCGAATCAAATTAAAAAAGGCTTTAGCTCAATTAACAACATTATAGGTTCGGCACATAAAAAGTTTGAAGTCTGAAACAGGCGTTAGATAGCCAAACGCTAAAATTAGAACAGCTCCGTTTCCTTCGGTAAATTTTCTTGGCACTGCGGCATCTAAAGCATGAACATTACTAACAGTTTACATTGAAAGATTGCCCAGAGGCCAAGACTGAAATTAAAATTCAAAAAAGGATCTGAATTAACAATATTTCGTGGTTTGCAAACCAGGTAAATCGAAAGTCTGTATTACTGAGATAAAATTTTGAAGGTCTGTATTAATCAGATAAATTTTTTTGTATCTGACGCATTATTTGATAAATTGATCAATTCGGTTGAAATAAATTGCACGGCGCATCAGGAGGGAACAGTGGTAAATACACCCCATGAACAGTATTCTTTTAACAATGTTGTTCAACCTTAAACCATCAATGTTAACAATACTGTTCACAGGGTGCAGCACAACATTGCTCACTCCTTTTCAACAACTTGCATCAACATGATAATGTTTAGCCGTGTATAGGATGTAGGATAATATAGGATAATATATTTCTACATTCACAGTGTACAATTGGTGCAAAATTTCTGCGATATGGTTCCCAATTGTATCTTTATAGACGCGTCTTCTCCATCGCTCGCGCGCCATGCAAGTAAAGTTGGAAACAGGCTGTAAAACTTTGCATTAGAACATTACACTTCAGTCGCTCCTCTCGTGAGGCGTAATTTTAACGGATGCGTCCTGCAATTAACTAGCCTGTATACTAACCTCTTCTCTGATCCTAATCGGCGTTTCTTGCTCTCTCTACACCATGCTGTGATGACCGCGATTTTACTCTGCAGTAAATTTCAGATGGATTTTTTTTTCACATATAGGTCTTCTTCTTTTAATTGACTGTTTCACTGTGGCACTCGTAGTCCTGGGTGGACGAATCTCATGAACAAATTAAAAGCTGTTAATGCATGTGTTTGGCTTCAACACTAAACGCATATATTGTATGCACGAGAGCCAATAAGTGTACTAAACGCTCCACCCATGTACTATATAGCAATAACTTATTCAATTCTGTGTACGACATTCCTTGTTTACATACCAGTCTGTCCATATATGGTTATTTTATAACAGTTCTAAATAATATTCTGCATCCCAATAGCCTTTTGGATGCTGATTTGTAAGTTATATAACAAGACCCGAATTAATTACTCCAAATATGAGGCATCACAAAAATTATCTTCATCGGGCATAATATATATAATACAACCAGTCGTTTAGAGTCCGCAAGTAAGAAGTTTACCAATATAGTAATGGCTCCTTTTCAGAATAACAAATCGAAGGAGCGAATTTTACGAGACAGGGAGAATCTAAGTAAGCTGTTGTTAAAAACTACCCAACGTAGTGCACTTTTGAACAATGAAAGATCCGTACGAGCAAACCTGCCGTACATGGCCTTCAACAAATGGCACGAGCGATTTAAAGAAACTGAGAGAATTATAGCAAGGTATCATGATGATGTTTCTAATGAAACTGAAAGAATAATAGCAAACCAAAAAAGCCTCAAAGATAACATTTTATCGGATGAAGATAAAATTAAGGAGCACATAAAAGAGGTGAGTGAAGCTCGGGTGATTGCGGACGCAGCGTATCAGACTAAGGAAGCAAAAAGAAGGCAACTACGTTGCGCAAAATATGAATTAGAAGAAGCTAGGAGAAATGGGCGTCGGTACAATAATCAAAAGTCCTTTTCTCTAGCTATTTCTCTGTGCTTCTTTGTCGCTTTGAACCGTTTCGATGTTATACATGCGCGTGAACGAATTGAACAGTGCCAAAGCGAGGTAGAACATCTCGAATCCGAATTTGCCGAAGCTCGAGACAAAAGAGATAAAGAGTTAAATGGACTAACATCATTACAGGAAATCCAACATGAGAAAGAGAAGGAATTGGAGGGGAAAATATTAGAACTAGATTCGCTGCCACAGAGACTTAAAGAATTGACCCATGTGAATAAAATTTTAATGCCCGTTTGTCATGATGTCAAAGAGATTGTCACAAAAAGCGAAAACCTTTTGGATAAATTGAACAATGTAGATTTCATATCGTCCCATGACGAAATAGAACGTCACATTAAGGAAATTTTATTTGATTTGGATCATGTCATTGAAAGACTTTAGATGATCATTTTTATATGTAATTGAAAAAGTATGTGCGTGGTAATATGATGTACATATAATAATGATAAAATAGTCCTTTTGTGATCGATTTTGGGAACAACTCATTAACGAGGGGCGCAAAAGGGGGAATGATTAATGAACATGGAGATTCTTGGACGTTCAAGTGAACATTTACAGTCTATAGTGTGTCGTACATACTTTAATGAGAAAAAAAAACAAAAAAGCCTCTGCAGAGGAGAGAGGTACTAGTCACAAAATGCATAATCGAGTTTCACTTTTTGACCCAGAAAATAAGGGCTTCCACAATGCAAGAAAATTTCCTTGTATTTGGCAATCACTAGGGAGAAAGGGAGAGATCTGTTTTAACAGAATATATTATGCATAGTTTTCAAAATGCAAATATCCTATGCAAAATAAGTTGTGGAAGCTAATACCTAATCCACGCGGGGTCCATTTTTATATCTATATACACGCACACGAAATACGTATAATTAGTTTTCAATGTTGAATGATAAATATTTAGCCCATAAGGCATAAATTCAATTTTAATTTGAAACTTTATTTCAGTTGTATTATAATATTACGAGTCTATATTAAGCCGTCTCATGTATGTAATTTCCATCGTCAATACGATTATTACTGCTATGTTATCGCACGTTACAACCAATAATAAAAACTTGAAATCGTCAAATCTGCCTTAAAGTTGCCTTTTTTCCAACAATTCAACTGACAAGCACGCCAAGGATCACGGACATGACATTATTCTTTATTTTCTTTCTTTTTAAATGACTTCAAGTAAATCAGTTATGTATTGTGAATTATGCATGCATGTAAATTATGAGAATTGTAATGTTGTTACGTGTTTTCCAACAATTTCGAGGCAGGAGTTTTGCTTTCCTATTCCTAAAATATAAGTTTTATATGATAAGTTTTATATGATAAGAACTTAGCCTTGTAGTTGAACCTTTCGCTTATCCAAGGACTTTGCCACACCACTTAATTGCACTTATATAACTTATTGAATAGTAGTGGCAACACTGAGAATTTAAGTTGTATATCTCGTTCCAGTTCGACGATACTGTAGTTCCATCAGTACCAGCCTATATATACATATATTTATGGCTATAGTATTTTTATGATCAAGGTCTATATTTCATGTAAACTACAAATGTTTTCATAATAACCAATATACGATTATTACTATTATAATTCTAAATTGTGAAACAGTAAGTTGAAAATGTAAATATATACATTGACGACGTTGCTTTTGGATATCCTTATGGGTCTCAGCCTAAAATATTAGGTCAATGGCAATAAAGAATCCGTCTTCGGCCATGCCCAAATGAATCTGATTATCCGTGTTGATTCCCTCTACTACCGTAACTACTCCCAGCCTTCCTGTTTCAATATCAAAAGTAAGTTTTTCTGTTTTCTTAGGTTCTTCTAGTTTACCCGTTTTTGTATTCAGTACTTGTATTATATTTCCATCATTGTCGTAAATAGGCATACATTCTTTCATATCCTTTTGTCCGCGTTTTGTTGACATGTTAATCTCCTGAAGATATAGTTCCACTATACTTAGAGCTGAAGAATCAGTCGAAAAAATACGATACAGAGATGCACACGACCGCAATGGTTAACACAAATACTGTTTTGCCAAATTGTTTGTTGTAAATTGTAATATCATATATTTAGTTTCACTTTGGATTCGGAGAAGACCAGCCTGACCATGCAGGTTTTTCTTGGAAAATAATAGTGAAAGTGAATTATTATACGCGTTTCCGCTCTGGCTATACAAAAAGTGGTATTAAAGCTTGTAGATATTGTCGTGCTTGGTAATCACGGTTTTGATAATATATCAGTATATATAGTCATGCCTTGGACACCCGCCCAGCGAACTCGTCTAGTGACAGAGAAACGAATTTTGGAGCAGTTCTTTCCTGGTCGTGTTCAGTGGATTGATCCGCAAGGCGACACAAAAGTCGAAGTTTCGCTCAACACAAACAATGGCAACAAATATCGCCTGAGAATATATTTGAAAGCTGCTGATAGCAGTAGTTCAGACTTCCCGAATTCTGTGCCAGATATGGTGAGTTGCATCACAAGTCATTTTGAATTAGCTAAATTTTGATCCAAACTAAAAGGCTGGTAAAAGAACAACTATAAGTCTAAGACTATATAGCTACTATATATAGCTACTCAACACTGGAATTTGCATCGATCCTTATCTACATCGATCCATGCATTAAAACTGCAGTGTTGCATGCAACATTGGATAACAAGCGACTAGTAACTGAAAGAACTTTCGCCATAACTGTAATTCTAGCGTCCTATTGTCACTATTGAAGAAGCAACTCATTGCCATCATAAATATATATTTAGATAAACTTTAATATGATCTCGAAATGCCTCTTCCTATCGTGCATTTGAAATTTTCGTATATATCCCATGCATACATAAATTTAATTTTTTTTCTATATGACTGCACTGCTAAATCCATGCATGCAAAGGAATCAGTTGATTTGTTGTAAGAAAAGGTTGTCTTTTTTCTGAAAAATTACAACTCTCACCATTAATCAACCATTCCAGGTGGTTTGTTCATCCCCAAAACCGATGCCAAAGTGGGGAGCTGATGGTAAGAAACATACCCTGGGCTACCGCGATAACTTTGTAAAGATTTGTCATTATCGTACAAGTCGTTGGACTGACCGTTCCACTCTCTACGAGGTCGTGATGAAAGGAAGAGTTTGGTTGGAAGCGTACGAAGGACATTTGATGACAGGGAAATGTCTTAGCGAATTCTTAGGCGAGATGAGGAATTGAAAAAAATGGAGTGAAAATCAGAGTGAAAATAGATCTAAATAAGACCATCTTTCCATATACAGGGAGTTTTATAAAGCAATAACACTTACACAAAATATCTTACTTGAGTTGCTTCTTGTAAACAAATTTGCATCACTGGTAATTTGTATGTATCACAAGAAAGATGCAAATTTATATAACACAAGAAATTGATTGTTAAATAAATCATAGTAGAAACTGCTATAGTTATAGTTTAAGCACAGTTTAGACCTTGCAGTCGTTAAACAAACCCTTTATTATAAAATAACGATTCACAAAAATTCACTCAGAATTGATTGGTTTTATATATTTACCATTAACAGGGTAGTCTATCATATATATGGTCGCGTTTATCAAAACGGTTTATTGATTACGTCTTAACCAGACCAGCTTGGCGGAAATTCGTAACGTTTATCCTCCTAAAAACAAGAAAATATATGTTATTCGCCTGCACATGAACTTGTTTTGTATACGACGTTTTTTAGGCGCGAAAATGAAGAACTCTTCACGAGGAGTCTTAGAAATCACGTTAGATAAGTTTAAACGTGGAGTTAAATGTTTATTTTTATATGTGAGTGGTTCGGTTCCGTATTTCCACAGTCAGTGAAAGATTGTTTTGTTTTACCTGTCAACATTTTGTGCGATAACAGAGGAGAATGGAGTTGATTTGGGACCTTGTGTAGGTCTGAAAATCTTCTTCGCTTGCGAGGCGTCAGACGCGGCTTTCTTTGGTTGATAAGGATCGTCAGAGTGCGAAGGATACGACTCGAAGCAACCTGCTTTGCAACCGCCAATCTATGTACAAATTGAAGAAAAATTTAACACTCGTGCGGTGCATGTAAAAACGTGAACTGCTTGAATACAGCTCTTGAGATTTTAAATTCGCGCCAAATAACGTTTTAATTAACACTATCTTCAATGTAGCCGTATATCTTGGATAAAATGTTTACAACCATATGATATTCGATGAAAGAATGAGGTCAAATAACCACCTCTTTTCCTGGTGAACTTTGCTTGAAAGGTTTTGCTATGGGCGGTCTTGTTTTGCCTTCTTTCAACGGTGGCAGAGCTGTGCGATAAAGAAGATGCAATTAATGCCAAGCTTCGAGAAACTCAGAAGAAATACTGTAAAGAATGGGAGTTTGCAAAATAATTCAGAACTGATTCACAAAGATCACAAGTTTTACAAAAACTACCACTAGTGTAAATTTGTGTTGGGCGCGGAAAAAATAACTATACGTCATAAAGTAGCTTACGTTTATCAGATTTGTATGGATTGCCGTCGAAGTAGGTTCTAGGATGAAGATTTAATCGGAATGCGCCTCCTTTTCGAACCTTGATGCTCTTCTCGTGGTCGCCCTAAAGGTTGATTCAAAATTTTTGAAATAAAAAAAAGGGAATTATTGAAAGGGAAATATTTTCATCAGTTTAAAACGATATATTATGCAGCTTAGAAATAACCGAATTCCTGAAGAGTTTTCTATTCCATTTTGGGTACATGGAAAGAGTTATCAAAACTTAACGTAACCCAGGGTTAGGGATAATTCCTTAAGCTTTGAACAATCGGACGAGGTCTTTGTAATGATTTTGCACAATTCATGTACATATTTATAGCGTTTCCATTCCTACCTTTCTAATTTCTTTTGCTCTCTCGTAAGGGTCAGTCATGTACTTTGGTGTCTGTCCGATGGTTACGCCAAGGTAACCATACCCTGTTCCTTTTTTGGGTGGATTAGTGGTGAAATTTCTTCCAGGTGATTTATATCCTTTCTTGCCTTTGTTTTCCGGACTGAACGCCTCAACTGGCCCGGAAAATGTCCCATAATGGCTACCAGCACCAGACCTGGATGGTGGTATATATGTTAATTATCGTCGCTGTTTATGATAATTAACACACTGGAATAGCAGTGCTCCATCAAAAACGCTGAAGAATATCAGCACTTCTAGAATATCCTTTCTAGCATTAAAGACTCCCTCACTAAGACTGCTTTTATGTTATCATTTTAAGTGCATTTAGGAAAGATTGACTGAAGAGTGTACACCATTCTCACTAGCTTTCTTTATCATTTTATTTGGCAGCCCATACGAAGATGCAGCACAGAATGCAGTAGCATATGTTTGCTTATATAACAAGATAAGTACTTGGACTTGAATGTATAAATATATAACCCCATACCCCAGGTCACTTTTGTGTGTGACAAAGAAATACCCTGAGATGGAGTAGAAATTCGTGTATGAATTGTAATTTTTAATTATTCTTTGATTCAACACGTACGCTAATTTTTCTCCACTGCTTGGGACGAAAGCATGACCAAGGTTTAAGCTTGATTGCTTCAGTCTTTCCTGTCTTCGTCTCTTCACAGGATCGCTGTATGACTCTGCTTCCATGATTCTCATGAACTGTTTGTCAAAGTAACCATCTTGTCTGGCTGATCTTGTCTTGCTTCCTCCTGGAAGCATTTGCTTTCCTTTGTGCGCTGCTGCATTGAATGCTGAATTAAACACAGGAGTTATAAAATTTATTTCGATCATGAAGGTTGGCTAAAAAACTTTTGCACTATTGTTTTACCATTGGGATGCTAGAACAGTCTTATACGATACCTGATGCAGTACCAACAATACCATATACCCTATCTCCATACTATAAGTGACACTATATCATACCATACCTTACCATACTTATACTGTACCATACCATACCATACTATACCATCCTATACCATACTATACCATACCATACTATACCATACTATACCATACTATACCATACATACTATACCATACTATACATACTTACCATACATACTTACCAACCATACCGTACATACCATACCATACTTAATACCATACTACACCATACTATATCATACCATTACCATTATCATACTATACCATACCATACCGTACATACCATACATACATACCATACTATACCATCTTCATACTATACTACACCATACTATATATACCATACCATACATACTATACCATACCATACCATACCACATATACTATACATACCATACTATACCATATACTATACCATACCATACTATACCATACCATACTATATCATACTTAATAAATTAGTTTGGTAACCATATCCTAAGACTATGTTTTAGTTTGATGACTGACGATCGATAGATTGTGTCGTCAGTCCAGACTCCAGAGTAACAAATATTCGATCGGTACAATGCAAACAAAGACAAGGCAATATTGGAGTAATTGGACTCGCGTTTAAATATATTGTATTTGCACCTAGCAATATCCCTAAACAAACTAATACTATATTCATGCCATAACAACCCATATTATTAAAACCCGTCCAAATAACGCAATGGCTAAATTATCCGCGGGACGGGTACCGCGGCCAATGGCCAATATATTATCAGACGAACACGCAAATACTTTACCATTGTTTTTGACTTTATACGAGTCCCCGATCGAGATATAACCCATCTCGCTAAACCATCCGACTCGGTTGAGATCATTTTTCCCATCAACGACCATTTTTGTTGAGTAGATCGGCAAAAAACTGCTTAAAAGGGCTGAAATTCAAGTCGAAACGACTGGCATTTAACTCATTAGCTGGAAAGTTGTTGATATTACGTCGTTGTCATGGTTACCAAGCGAGTAAACAGTGACCGTAATATATCAACTGGAACGCTAACTCCTAGGGCTCAGGCAAAAATTGAAGAAAAAATTGAGTTTTTGACTCTGTTTCCCGTTTAATTTTCATAAAAATTACCAAATGATTGTATTTTACATAGATCTAGGTATTCCTAGATAATTACTCTCTGCGTTGGTCTCAAACGTTCAAAAACTTAGAAAAACTACCTTCAAATTTGGCTTCAAGTTAGCGTTCCAGGTTTTTTCAGTTCACTAGGAATAAAAAACTTCCACTTTCTGTGAAATTTTTCAAATTGGGAAACTCGTGTAGATAAATGGAAGTTTCCCAAACAGGAACTCGGGGCAAGATGGCGGAAAGATTTTCCAAAGGAGTTGTTTGAAACCTAAGTTACTGCTGAAGCGATCATGTTCAGTGGAACTGGACAAGATGTCGACGAAACTGTTGAACGAAGAGATGGGAAGAAGGAGAAAGACAAGGGATACGTTGCTTTCTATTCTGACGATGACGATGTCGGTGCTCAAGGGGATGATGAGAGTTTGACTTCTTCAAGTGCTAGTATAAGGTTTGGGAAACTTTGATATTGTTTTCTTTGAAGGCTATAAAGCTATTGATCGTGGTGTTCAAAGGCCAAGGACAACACGAAGACGCTATTTCACGGTTTAATAGAGCAATCGAATAGAAGTTATGAAAGAAAACGTACACTTTTGTACATATTTGATATTTATAATTTGCGGTGCATTGGGAAATATTTTGTTTCAGCAATTGGGGGTTTGGTAAATTGACTTCCGTTATGCAAACAATTACTTATTGCTGTCGTGCTGTGTTTATTAAACGGAAGATGTTATCTTTCGCCCAGTTACATTACTTCAACAGTTTTATATAAAGTTTTTATCAATTTTCTTCGTTTATTATCAATTAATAATTTTCTTGAAATTTTGTTCGGAATCAAGTGCATCCGTTTAGCATACAATCACAGGAAATGTGGCGCTATATAATATTGGCAATTTAAAGTGATTATATGATTAGCAAATAATGTCAGTTATAATAGTAAGCAATGATTTAATTCAAAGTCTGGCCAGACTGCAGAGTTAGACATTACAGCACCTGGGATGAAGTCAGTTATATACAAAGTCCTATATAGCACCTCTGAGTTATGCAATACACTTTTCATAAGTGGCACTAATGGCGTAACTGGCCATCCACAATATAGCATGTCTATGTGTACAGTGCATTTTATAGCGCATCTGTTTGCACCTGAGCTTTCCTGCCAAAATTTTACCTCCTTAAAAACACAAACTTTAACAAAGTTGGCTTTCCACACCTGAGAACCTAGCGAACAGTACCGAACTCTGCAGTCTAGTCTTCTCGTAACTATAAAATTCTTGGATGTATGTATAAATTAGAAAAATAATTCCATATGAAAGATATTACTGATGTTGCCCAGAAGGTATTTTTCTTAAAATTGGCTGAGCATTCAACATACTCCACAGATTAAAGAGCAAGAAGAGCAAAAAGGAAAAATCGGTGAAGAAAGAATCCAAAAAGAAAAGCAAAATTAAGAAACAAGAGAAAGGAAAAGTGGAAAAAGAATCGAAAGAAAAAGTCAAAGAAAAAAAGAAGGACAAGAAGAATGAACTGCCAAAGCAACAGCAAGGTAAATGTTTCAGAATCATGATTTAACGTGTTATGAAGGAAATTGTAATGCTCTACTTTGGTTAAATTTTTAGCACTACCAGTGTTTGGAGTGTCAATAGAAGAAGCAGTACAGCGAAGCATTCAAGCTGACGGAGTGGAGATACCTCGTATCATTCGAGAATGTATCATGCAAATTGAGGACAAAGGTTTGTTGAGAACTGTGCATTTCTTTTCTAAGTAATACACTGCTTCTCCTTTAGTTTATTCTTGATAGAAATCGTAGTACTCTGAACATATTTATCATCCTCTGAGAACAGAAATCTACATACCATTGTACATTGTTTATGGTTTCAGGTTTATCCCAAGAAGGCATTTACCGTTTGTCTGGTGTGAAGTCAAAGATTGAAACTTTAAAAGAAATTTACAATCAAGGTTGAACATCTAATCTTAACCTGATAGCATGTTCACTTGTTGTTGATGTAATAATCTATATATGGTGTAGACAAAGAGTTTGAGATTTTGCACTTTTTCATCTTTCAACAGGAAAAATTGTAGACCTTGATGACTTTGAACCAAATATTTTAGCTGGGCTGATCAAGTTATTCATACGAGAGTTAACAGACTCCATTCTTCCTGAGGAAATTGGTCAAAGATTTGAGGAAGCGGCAGGTTTGTGACAGGAATATCAATAAACAAACTGTCCACAGAAACAAGGAATTCTTTATATAGAAGATTTAAAGAATGCACCAAACTTTTCCCATATCAAGCTACGGTACTTTATTTTCTAGCCATACCAAGTCGACAAGAGAAAATCAATCAATTTAGGAACTTAATTCTTGAACTACCTTCACCAAACAGAACTTTACTGTCATGGCTGATGGTTCACATGCTACATGTTTTGCAAAAGGTAATCGTAAACTTAAGTCCTTAGTTGCATGTTCACTTTTCAGCTAAAAACTATCCCTTTTTATAATTGTAAATTCCTTGTGTCTATCAGGGGTCGGAGAACAAAATGTCTATCCAGAGCGTTGGTATTGTATTGCATCCAACAACTGGAATAGCTCAGTCTGTTTTGAATATTTTTTTGAACAATATAGCAAATTTATTTGGAGATACTCAGTTAACTAGGTGAGTGATTGGTAAGATACTTGCTTTATGTTAGGATGATGCTAGGGTACGCGTACATATATGTCATTATCGTGTATAAAACAATTATATGATTCACTCTCCTGATATATTGGCTGATAGCCTGCCTTTTCCTTGTTGGCTTTCAGCTTATGTATGATCTAATGATCTCAATTTTAATTGTATGGTAGCTGGTAAATCTTTAACTAAGGGTGAACGACTCTTAAACAATTTATCCAAAACGTATTCTGTGTTAGGTACGAACATACTGTTAAACCAGAAGTCGATATCTCAAGTTTATCAACTCCAGAGTAAGTAAAAGATAGCATTCTTTCTATTTTCTCGTTGTTTTTTTTTCATTTTTTACAATTCCTTTTCAAAGTCGTAATCTTTCGTCCGTTAAGGGAAATTGCTGCTGAACTAACGCGTCAGGAGGAGATTCTAGGGCGAAACTTCACGAGAACATGAAAAAAGGAACTCCGGAAGAGGTTTGCCATTGTCAAAAACGAGATGCAATTTTGGACAAGGAACATCGTTAATAGAGTTTGATTTGAATATCATAGACTGAGGATAAAGATGAGGAACTCTGGGAAGTTCAACGGAAAGTTACAATGTTGAAAAGAAAGGTAACGAGATCTTCCTCGTTGCAATACAGTTGAAGGATTTTGATATAACTGAGCAACCATCGCCATTATTCGTAATCTCTTCTAGTTACGTTTGGCAGAACGTAAACGAGACGCAGAAGTTGTGGAAGAACAGAAAAAGCAAGAAGAGAATAAACCTGCACCGCAGGAGGATGAAGAGGAAGGTACCTCAACATTTCTTCTCAAATTCACAATTGTTCTACAAGCAAGACGATACAAAAGAAACCTAGCATTAAAGCGTAATAACCTAGTGGTGTGAATCCTGTATAGCTAAGTATTTATAGTATTCCGTGGTGTTTATGTATTCTATTGTTTTTATTTAGAAACTTTAAAACGTTTGGAGCATGAGGAGATGGAATTACGCTTTGAAGAAGAGGTATGTTGCCGTTTATCATTCAGTGTTTTTAGAATTGGATCAGCATTTATGTCGTCTACTTTTCGGATAGATATTTACATGGATGAGTGCATGAACTAGTTTATCGCAATTCATCAACCTGACTCTTCAATGAAGCATCTTAAAATCGAATTGTTGAAGGAATTGCTTGAAGTCAGAGAACAACTCGAAAAGAGACTTCAAAATGAAAAGATTGAAATAAAAAGACTCGAGGTATTGCAATCTTTGTGTATTAATCATTCTGGTATTCACGTTCATCCATCCAGCTAAAAATGGGGTATCAGTAACACGCTGATCGTGAATCTACTGGATGGATAAACTGCATGTGAAAGTTCTAACAGTCATAACTGTTTTTCTCGCCTCCAGGAAGAAATAGCCGAGGTCTCGGAGGTGAATCAGTCACGGGCGAGCACTTCAGGAGTAACTTCTGATCAAAACTCATCTTCATCCGATAATAGTGAAAGTGTATCCTTTTGTAGTTCTCTCTGGAAGGACGCTTACACGAAGTATCTGTTCGCGTCACATGACGACACAAAGGCAGTTTACACTTGGACGTTTTGCTCCGATTTTCGCCTTTTGATAGATGCAAACGAGCAAATAGTTAGAAATGCTCTATGAATAAGTGACTTTCTATGAACATGGTGAAAGACTTCTCCACTCGTTCACATCAACCAAGGGCAGAAAATCGCAGCAAGACGCGAATGTGAACGGGCCTTTACGATCATAACCCGATCCAGGCTTGTTTCCCGCTGTGGAGGAAAGAGCCTGGTAACCAAGCTATAATCATCTTTACTGTGACGGGTAACCACCTTAACAATTATCTCAGGAGGAAGACGAGAGCGAACTAGAGGACATAATGAACGATCTTGTTCAGAATAACAAAGAACTTGAGGTAAATATTCAAGTCTGATCAATATTTTAGCGTTAACTAGTGGCGTAGTGCCACAGAGATTGTTCACTGCGTGTTTCCACAATGTTTCAAATATTTTTCTCTCAATTTTCTCATCGAAGGAGGAAAATAAGAAGCTGTCGAAACAGATTAACGACGAACAGGAAACATGCGTTGAACTTAAAGTTCAGATAAGAATGATAACAGCCACTCAAAAAGGGGAGACCGAGAAACTTTCGTGACCTGAGAACGAGCTTGAATTTCCACAATTAATCATGGCTGAGACGCTTCATCTCGACTATTGAAAATCAGTTAAACTTCTCAATTCCTGATTGTTTATAGTTTTATTTTTATATTTACAGGCACCGGGAATAAGCGTTAGAAAACTAAGGCATTATTAACATAAAACATGAAAAATTTCACTCGACACAATGCTAAACAATATTTGAATTGCATAACTCCATTTTTCGCAGGAAATTATTTTCCTGGGATTTCCCACTTCCAGGAAAACTTATGTTATTCTCAAGTAATTTTTCACATCACATAACTTTACCACGATCATATTTAGTGGTGTTTCAAGGGTAATTTTCTACACATAATTATTTATATTTAAATGGCTGCCATCTTATAGGATTCCTGAAATAAGTAATTGTAAATAGGTAGAATTAACCAAAAAATATTGTTCACTAAGTGAAATAAAGAAGAAATACTTTCGCAAGGTTGTACCGCGTTTTGATTTAAAGTATTTTGAACAGAGCTTAAAAAGAAACAAATTACAATTCATGATTGTAGCCATGTTGCATTTATATCAAAAACAAAACGGTCGACGATATTCCACAAAAAACATGTTTATTTTTTTCACAAGTTAACTTTAACAGCCTGACCCTAAATGATCGTATATGTTAGTATTTTTCATAAGAAATATCTAAACTATTCAATGCATTGATTTCCCAATAATATGATGCGAGTTGCATTTGCAAACAAACTTCTAATATTCTGCATTCTTTCGACTCAATACTGCAAACTCAAACGCTTGAACGCGGGCAGGTTTTGTCCTTTCCCAAGAGTGTTCCATATGCGCAGCATTTCTGAGCTTTTGTGTCAAAGTATCTGTAACCACAACATCTCCAGTTCTGTTTGATGGCGTAAATATCACCACAGCAACATTTCTGTGTGATTGGACTGAATATTTTCTGCCCACAATCTAGAGAGAAATAAGCATATGTAACACGTTATTCCTCCCTTTCTATATCTTCTCTTCTGCCAACGATTTTCTTGCCAATGCTTTACCCTATTACAGTGCACTTTAGCTGGTATTTATTTTGGGACACATACACCACGACAGCAAAGAAATAGCTGCTGTTTTTTGCTGTCTGCAGTTATAGTGATTTTCGTTATAAATACTTACGGAAGAATGGACATTGTTTGAAGTGATAGTCACATAACCAACGTGTTTTCGTACAGACGCTGAAACGAAAATTTAAACGATAAATTTCCTGGACGCCTAACTTGATAAAAATGGGACCATCGCTTAAAATATCTTACCATTTCAGACATTGACAAAGCAAGATTGAGCCTTCGTTATGAAGTTCGTGTACGCTCCAACGACATCCTAAAAACAGAAGAAACCTCGGTATGTCAGCCTCTTTGAACGTGTAGTGATTTTATATGCATCTTTGTTGAGCCTGTGTTAAACCTGTAATAATGCAATATACTTTTTTAACTTTGCACACGGCGATGCTAAAGATTTTGTTGAAACAGTGTTTAACATAGGTGGAACAAGTGAAGATTATTGGCATTATTTACAAAGACTTTTTTCATGAACAAAAAATCAAATATTATCAATGCTAACAAATCATAATTTTTCTCCTACGTAAAATTAAGATTACTAAAGCCATCAACTTACGTTGATCCTTAACGGGCACATCAGCTCGTTTAGTCATGTCTCCTACAGTTTTGTCATCTGGTCCCTCGATAATCCTGACCGCCATGTAAGCATCAGGCATAGGACCGCCGTCATTCCCAGGACTCTCTTCATCAGCTGTAAAAAGACCAGCTAAACTCTTAAGATGGTTGATTTTTTTTTCTTGCTTGGTAACTGTACGGGATTTCAAACTTTAAGACTAGAAATAATCAAACTCACACTCGCTGTTGACTAAGCCAAACGCCAGAAATAAAACAAATACTATCTTCATTTCTGAAACTCTGAAAGAATGAAGGATACAGATGTCTTTGGTTGAACAATTCAATTGGTATAACTACCCCCCGAGCCTCTTCTTCCAGTTTCCCTGGGACTGGGTTAATATGGTATACTTATAAAAACCTTGGTATAGTTTATTAAACACCAAAAGATTGGCTTTCTAATGAGTTACATTGGTGTATCCAAAACCAATATTTCTACTTGTCTCAATCGTTGATTTCGATCGTTTCCCCCAGACTAGGCGTCGGACGATTTTTGTAATTTCTATACTGCAGTACATCTCTCATTATAAATCAACTCTACCCTGTATGAAATTATAGCATAATCTAGTATAAACGAAGCATGCCCTTATCAAAGGACTCGAGTAAAGATGTCGCTATCTTACAACTCTCTAGAGAGTGTTCATATTATGTACGTTCACTGATTTGATATCATTTTCATCTATTTCTTTAGTTGCTGCCTTCTGAGCGCATTGATCAGCAAGAAAAACAAGGTAAATTAAGTATAGATTTTAAGAACCTTGTTGTTTGAATATTCACATATACCGCTTCGTGCTCCAAACGAACATCAAATTACAGCACTGAAAGTTTTCCTATACCGCGGGTTGCCGCATGTAAACTTTATTTTACAAGTCCTCAGCAAAGGAACGTCAGCCTTAGCAAAGTATTTGAGCACAAACTAAGTTTAGAAAATGTTATTAAAATATTGGATTGAAAACTCACCTTTTTGTGCCGGCAAAACAAATCACAGACGTCTTCAATTGTAAGATTAGATAACGACACGCATCCCCAAACATGAACTAGTTTTGTATATTTTAACAGCAACAAAACTCTAAAGATCTTTAACTCTTACACTCAGTTCTAAAACGTTTTGTTTGAAAACTACGCTTCCTGAATTCTGCTTCATCAAATGTCCCTTGTCTTACGATAAAAACCTTTGTTTCCAAACTCAAGGAATCTTTAGTAGGTATTATGAAAGTCGTTTGTAGCTTATTTGCATGTATACATGGTTAAAGAGCTTGCATCGGCTTCAAATGACAAAAAATCTTTAATTTCTTTGTTGTTTCCGAGTGCATAAGTCGTATTTTTGAAAGCTGTTTTTAGTAGCCGCTGCAGTCATAAATTCTGCTCAACTTGGTCAAAGAATACAAAAGATTTTTCTTCTGTTACCAATAATATAAATAAACCAGACCCATGCATGCAAAAGCTAAAATAAATGAACACATTAGGTTTGATATGCAAACAAATGGATGAATTTGCCTCTGTTGCTGAGAAAAGGTTTTCATTACTCGAGTGGTTGGCCGGTTCACCAGCTCGTGTAGTAAAAATTCCCTAATGAAGAAATATTATTTTCTCCTATGTCTATATGTACTTTCGCTCATCAATGTGTATAGTTACCCCCTGGAGGCGGCTGTAAGACAAAAACTTAATAGCACTGCAACCGAACGGAGTTTGTATATATCTTTCAATTGTCGTAGAATTAAGAGTATTCTTACGGTGAAGATATCTTCTCTATTGTTGGGCCAAACCTGAAGTTTAACTGTTTCATTTTAACCACAGTTAAAGCGGCATCAAGGCTTCCTATAACAACCGGCCATCGGAGAACAGGACCTTGTTGTCTCTGCAGCAATATTTCTCGCTCTCAATCAGAATTCACTTTTACAACAATAAATAAATAAATGATACTAAATGGATTGTATTGTATTAGTCGGTGATTCATTCTATCGAATCTAATGCCTCCGGTACAGCCTAGCTGATCATCCATCATGATCTCTTGTCTCCTAGCAAGATTTACTAAACCTAAACCTGCATGAATTTAAAATATAAATCAAATGTACATCCCTTAGTGCTCTGTATTTCATATATCTGCACACAAAATAAGAGAACATAGATTTCTGTATAACTGAAGCACGCGTATTTCGTTCAAATATATTTGCACGAGACGTTTGATTTCGGCTGTGATTGACTGATTTCTTCTCTCTTGTAGATCTCTGCCCACTTCCTATATACCAGCTCTCTACCAGATGCTGTTGCCTCGTCAGGAGAAATACAGCCGCACATTCTCACATACTGAGCCTGTAGATTGGATTCTATAGAGTCCATGCAGGGGGGCTTTACTATCGAGCCAACAGGAGGAATGGAATCCAGTATCATCCTATCCAACCGCCTCGCAAGCTCTGGGAACAAGAATGACGGTATCTAATTATATTTGTGTGACTCATGCAGCCGTGAACACCCCGGGGGGAGGGGGGAGGGGGGAGGAGGATTTCAGCTATCATTTAGTAAAGTGATCTTAAATAGTTATTACAGGACCTAGTGTTGGTTTCAAAGTTTACTATGAGAACTGTTAAATTATTGCCGAAACTTTGTTGTTATCCATGTACTAACGTCTAACAAAACACTTGGCTACAGAAAACCAGAGGTAGAGGTAGTTTGTTTTGAGGCTCTGAGACAGCGGTGTTGCCCCGGGTGAAAAAAAAAACACTGTTTCCCGTGGTCTCAATAAGTAAATAAGCTCTGCTGTTGTGGCGAACGACAAAAGATACGGCCATTCTTGCTGCGGTTACTATTTTTAAGACAAAAGGCACAGTAAATGCTGCAATTACTTCTCAGTTCGGCTAATAAAATCGCATTGTCCACGTGACAAAATGTAACTGGCTTTCGAGTATAATTTTGCAACGTCTACAGGTAAATGCTAGATTTTAAAATACTTATTTTGTATCATTAGTATATGTTTATCTAACAATTGCTCCAATGCTAATAACAATAGTCTATATTTAGTAATGATAATGAATATAATGATCCTTAAAGAACAGTGAACTCAGTGAACTCTAGTGGTTTAGCTATACCTAAATCGCGGACTAGTTAAATTTATTGGTCTAGATCTTTTGCAAAGTTGTTTTAAAGGAAATTATTCAATGTCGTCCATATCATCAACTGTCCGCGTGGTCATTTCATCCAAAAACTTAACAGCGGTTCCCTCCAGTTCGTCGAGGCATTGATGGAGGAAATGGTAAGTGGATGAGAAGGAAATTCCTCCGGCAATTGCGAGGCCAATAAACGGGATGAAACGAGAGAATTCCTCAACTGCGGATCCAGCACCGTACCTGGCAAGAAACCCTGCAAATTGTGTGGCACTTGTGATGCAAAATTTGCGAATTCTATCCTGGTTTTCCGGCGACATATTTCTGAATTCGATTGAATCTTCCTCGGGCAGGCCAAGCTGGGATTTGTAGAGACTCACTTCGTTTGATAACAGGGCAATATCAACGGCTACATTTAACCCGGGAACCGGAACAACAGCTGCAGCGGCCGACGCTGACGCAATCATCCAAATTCGACCTGAAACGAATTCAGTTTTGTTAAACTCTTGCCGCAAACGAGATCAAAGGTTGCATCATCTCAACTCCTCTGGCCTGATGAAAAAACGCGAAATATTATTCAAAAACTCTCCTTAAAATTTAAACCTGCAGGTAATTTATGAATGAACATGGCTCTTGGTGTGATAAAGGTATATAGACAAGTCTTTCCCTAGTATGCCTCCTGTAGTCATGAAGTCATATATTTACCTCGAAGAAGATCAGCTTTTCTTTTCAACATATCTGTAGAAAGGCTGGTCAACACGCCTAACGACAGTGTAAGACTTTCTCTTTGACGAAACGGCAATACGTCAAGAATCGCTTGAGTGAGACGACCAAAATCCCACTTAGCAGGGTATGGGTTGCTGATCAAGAACACGACCCTGTTGGCGCCTGAAAAACCTTTCAAATTCTCGAAACAATCATTCTTGATTGTCGCAAGCATCATCTCTTCGCTGAAATTTTTCTTTCGTCTCTCGTTTGTGTAGTCTTGATCGATTTTGGTACGTATTAAGAAGAATGACTTGCCGATGGCTGTCACCTTTTTGGTCAAAGCCAGATCATTCTCCGTGAAGCGTCCAGCGGTTAGAATGAGGAAAGTGTCGTATTTCTCCAAGCCAACATTTTCAGAGTAGGTTTCAAGGTCTGGATAGTTTGGAGTGCCTGAAGAGAGATTTTTGGAATTATTTTGAAAAAATATCTTGCTCATGACTTTTAGGTGATGCAGAGGTTACTGCATGCATCGAAACACTTCTAGCACTTTTTTTTCGATTTTCCAGGAAACGTTTAATTGATCCAATGGGTGTCGTCATACGTTATACTGGATCGCTCTATCAGTTCTAAACTGTTCTTCCTAGAGGTCCTGTAAGGATCATCTCTTATTGATCCAGTGTTACTACAGGAGGAAACCTGAACTAAACTAGCTTTATTTATACTGGATAGCTCTATCAGTTCTAAACTGTTCTTCCAAGAGGTGCGGTAAGGATCGTCTCCTTTTGATCCATCGGGAAATTCCTTGGTCAATTGACTTGTGCTTACCGATGCCAGGCAAGTCCCAGAAGAATATCTTATCGTTCGTGGGATGAGGGTATTTAGCAGCGACCCTTGTCGTCTCCTTGACACCAGTCTCCGCAGCCCCCTCGTCGTCGTCTGCCAGCCTGGATGGATGATGGGAAATATGATAGAAAGCTTTTAGTTCCAAAAACGCACGCGCTTTATGGAAACTCCCCAAATGTTAATCTATTTTACAACCAGAGGAAAAGACCTTTCTTCACTGCCCATGCTAGAGAGCTAGAGTAGACTACATAAATAAGAGCCGGATTATCATTACAAATATTTCACCTGCGCCAATTGAAATAGGAATTATATTGTTATGGTAACCTCCTGGGGTCAGAGAAGCGAGTGAGCCGAGGTTGCGCTCTCAAACTAAAATACTTTTCCTTCTAAAGTGCACTAATTCTTCTAATCATGAATTATCAAAGATGATTGCCCAGGTCTATGCAGCAGGATTCTTTTCTAAATAGTTTTCTTCCTTCTAGGCCCTGATCAAACATTGTGGCTTATCATAGCTGCCAGCGTCACTAGACACAACAAGAAAACCTTTTGCCATCGCTTTATGTTCAGCTTTATCGCTTCTTCGCATGCAACTTCAGGAATTGGCAAACACACGGCTGGCATATTACTAAAACACATCTACATAACATCCACAGAAACCTATAGTTTTTCGCAACTCTTCCGGCGAATTTAAAACCTACTTTCGATTCTTGGAAGTATAGCTACGCACTACAATAAAAAATCGCTTCGAATTATCCAAATCACATTCTGTTTATTTAATAGCAAGCTAACAACCAATTTGATCGTTATTTTTCACTGCCTTCAAAGCTCCATCGAAGCGATAACGGTCAGTGTACAACTTGATACTAGTTTTTAAGTGAAATGCGACAACACACCCATAGTTGCGAAACCATATCATGCAGGTTATTTCTGATATTCACAAATTTGCTTTACCCTCGTATTGCATTTATGAAACTTGATTTTCCGACACCAGAATCACCAGTTACACCAATATTGATTTCGACATCCCGCCATTTCTCCAGCTTCTTTTTGAAAAACTCCTCAATGCCAGACACGCCGTGTTCCTCGATATGCCCTTGCACATCTTCCATGAAAACAAATTCCCAATCGCCCATGGCCGCCTTTTGAGATTCGAGCTTCTTATCACAAACTTAGAGGACTTGAATTCTGTATGATATCCACGATCTTGCTTTAGCTGAAGCAAGCTAGAACTACTTTGAGCGAAGCCTGCGAAGGGGAGTTTGCGAATGATCGTCGTATTGTTCAGGGATATATTTTGATACAAGGTTTGGACAAATTATGTAATTTTCTTTGAAACGGGGATTCTGAAGACGAGTGATTTTACGGGTTTTCCCCTCATTATAATTATGCAAGTCATAGAATTATTTGATACGCAGTTACCGTTTAATCTGGAGAAGCTATAGCTCTAGTACAACGACCATCGCGCTATTGGCGATGATAATTGACACGAATTCATCGGTAAATTAATTTGTAAGTGCGAAATATCACTCTAAGTATCGCTTTTTTCGTCCAAGATGGACAAACTTGCTTGGAATTTAGAATTAATAAATGATGAGTTGTTTTGCAAGTATGAACCTCGTACCCAGGGCTAGCGCATGTTCGAAGCCAGTTGTCAAATCATTTGTAAGTAAAGTTTCCAATTTCAGGATCTTTATCTGAAGCATATCCGAAATACTTCGCCTGTTTTCTTTAGAAACAAATCATTCAAGTGCTCGAAATTACAGTAAAATGGCGAAACATTTCCTAACAGTCTCTAGAGAACAAGCCACCCACCCCTCTCTGTGTAAACAAGGAATACAAGACTAAATTGAGTCTATGCTGAGTTCAAATTCCATTTCTCATGTCATAGGGAAACGCGATAGCTAACTGAACCTTAATTGTAGTGGTAAAAATGCCCCGTTGATTGACAAGTAACATTGATTAGTATTATCAGTCGTTCTACTGAAATTAAGTTTGGTCTAGCATTTATTATAACCCTTGTTGGTGAATCAAGAAACAGTGAATAGATCGATTGTCGTTATTTTAAACAAATAGATTGTCGTTCGAAATAAACCTCTAGCCTCGACTTAATCGCTTTGTACAGATGACTCAAGAAAACTTTTACCCTGATACAAAGCATATGTTATTCGAAACATGGCATATGTACGATCGTATGTTGTATCTTTGCAGTACTATTGTTCTCTGATCATATATAGTTCGACTTTTTATCTCAGTTGACAGGGCAACATGTCTACATGGCCATATGAACGAAGTGATACAGCAGTGCACGAGGAATAATGCATATAAAACATACTCATTACCATATCATTGAAGCATGTGAAGACCTGTCTCTCTTTCTTTGCTGCACATGGTCATGAATTTTTAAATAAATATCAGTTAAATCACAGGTTCTATTAAAAATAGGTTATTGTTATATATAGCTCAGAGAAAGTCCAGTTCCACCTCTCAAAATGAGGTATTTCCTTCAGTTTTTCGATGGCAATTATGTCAAGGTATTTCAGATGTGTGATGACTTTCCTCCTAAACCGAAATGACTTCACAAAGTTAATTTGAATAAGCTTCAACTGACGTATTTCAAAAGCATGCTTTCTTTCAATTACCTGTTAATGCTAAAATTCTTCGGTAAAAAGAAAGCAAGAATGCTTTTGTATTTTGAAAATCCTCGTTCAACTCTACTATTTTGTATATAACTTTTATCATGATACGAAGATAAGGGTTTAGCTTATAAATAGTTGAAAGAGAACTCTACTAGAACCTCTCTCACCAGAACAGCCGCATGTTTCCCCAGCAACATAAATAAACTCTGAACTCTCTCCTAAAGCATCCAATATGGCGGTCCGTGGACTCCGTAAGATTCTCCACATGCAATGATTAATAACTGCTATAAGTCTATCTTAACAAACCTTTAGTTATCTCTACGATGATATTATAGAAAAAGACGAAATAAAACCTACTCCTAGCGGTGTAAAACATGATAAAGATGATTAGATGAAAGCATGCAACATATGGTTTTAAAGAGAAGACAGAAACTACTCCGGCATAATCTAAAATCAAACTTTTAGCTCTAGAAACGCTTCTTTTCTTCACTACAACTCCGAATTGAAATATAATTCACTTCGCAATTCGAAGGCAAATTCTTTGTCTAAACATGTGTTAATCCTGTATGCAAAACTCTGGGAAACAAACGCCTTTTGCTTCGGTTTTTTACGGGTGGAAAGCCTGATGGATGCCACCAGTTTTATTGTGCACGAAGCGAGATCGCCCATTGGTTGACTGGCGTGGATACAAGCATTTGTCAGCCGCCCTTTTCATCTGGGCGGATGAAGTGAAAACAAAATTGAAATGTTGTTTTTATATTTAAACGTGGCTTGTAAATAGAACAGAAACGAAAGGAAGTGGGCAGTTGAAGAATCGATGCGTGTGTAACTGTGTAAGGTCGTCGTTGAGACACAAAGTCTTCAATTCGAGTAAAGATACGTGACTACTCCAGGCGGAATTCGACGCGGGATAATCATGGCGTGCTTGCAAATTTTTGTGGCGTTGATGTGTGTCCTGAACGGACTCACGATTCAAGGTATGCTATAGCACTCAGTCGGTTCTCAAGCAACTTAACTCGATACGCTTATTGAGTAGTCCTAAAGTTGACCAATTGACTCAAGTGTTCAATGAAGATTTGACGTTTCTCAGTAAATTTAGCGACGGGGAGTTTGCGACAAATGCAGTGCTTTTCGGCCAATGCATGGTTGAAGATTCAATTTACATTTTTTCGTCTTCATTTGTGAAGTTGTATAACGATGAAGACGTAGGCTTTCAGATTGAAATTTTTACCAATAAATAACGTTGAACAATGGTAGAAAGATATTGCATTCTTGACGTTTAATAGGAAAGCTGTTATATAATTATATCTAAACTATATGTTTAGTGTGTCCATTTACTCTTACAAGCCGGCTGAAGAAGCTGAAGTATTAGCATCGCATTGCCTGATTGCCTGCATAAGGTGTGCACTACACTTGCAAGGTCGTTTTTGCCAAATTCTGTGTTGACAATAAAGAAAAACACGAATATGTTCTTGGTTTGGTTTTCAAACAGACGACTTTCGTACAAATCCTGTCACCAAAACTATAAAGAGGAGATGTAGCCACTAGCCGGCTGCGCCGATCAGACAAAACGATCGGAACCTTGATATTTAAAAAAAATAGCGAAGGTCGAATATACCACGGCCAGTGTATGGTATACTCAACCTTGATAATAAAAATAGTAAAGGTCGAATATACGTTTATACGGTATATTCGATCTTGGTAATTAAAAAATTAGTTCATGCAGGTTGAATAGGTCCAAACTCTTCCTCGATAACTGTCGACGATGCTCGGGGTTTTACTAATTCTATTTCTACTTTCTAGCTTATCCATCGTCCAAAACAAGACCGAATTTTACTCAACAAAGATGCTCTTACAGCACAATTCAGCGTGGAGTTATACCGCAGGGAGGGTTTAATAGGGACTATGTTGAGCATGTGGGGACCGTCAAGACCGTCGAGGATTGCGTGCGCAGCTGTTGTAGATCACGTGACTGCGACATGGCATTCATGCTGGCCAATCATTGCTACAGAATAAGTTGCAGCAGAGACCCGGAGAAATGTAAGCCGATTGATGCAAGAGGAAGGCGCAGGTTTGCCTCGAAGCTCGTGAAACTGACGAGGAAACCAATTGAAGATGGTATGCCAGAATACTTGATAATTTAAGAATCATTGAATAAGATTGAACATGTACATGATGTGGAAAAGTAAATTGGCTTCCAGGTACACCACGTAAGTATTTGATACTGCAAAGCTTTCGGTCCGTTACTAAATTACAGTTAACGGACCGAAAGCTTTGTAGTATTAAATACTTACGTGGTGTACCTGCAAACTAATTTACTTATTGATGTCACCATGCAAACTTACAAGAATATTATGATATGGGTAACTATCAGTCGAAGTCAAAGGGATGAAAACGACAAACTAATACTTGATACTTCTTCACATCTTGTGAAAAAATTAACACAATCATTCGCTCGCATTTGTGTCAATTTCACATACTTGCATGCTCCTTGGAACATTTACGTCTTCGCCATTGATGTGACATCAAACGTGGGATACGATTATTTATCACACGTTATAATGTATAACGTGCTTTAAAGTTTAAAGCTTACGAGACCAAACAAAATATCCAGTAGATACGATAGCGCAATCTTTTTGTACATACAGTTTTTTTGCAACTGTAGCCTGCTACCCGGCCAAAACTCAGTGAGGTAATTCTTTGCTTCCCTAAATTACTAGATGCGTTAACAGTCCACATGAAATCCCACAAGGACGAGCTTCAGTGCACCCACAGTCCGATTTCAACAAACGTCACATTACGAGGTGGTGTCAAGGCAGGAAACTTCTCAAATCTTGGTGACGTGGAGTCAATGCACATGTGTACGGCGCTCTGCTGTGCCAAATGGACCTGCGATCTCGCGTTTATGATTGGAGAGACCTGTGTAGCGGTGGAGTGCGCCAGCGAGGAGCTGTGTCAGACCGTACGGGCAAGACCAACTGGGTTTAATCCAAAGATTTCGTACATCAGACGGAGAGAAATCAATCAAAATGTGAAAAAAGGTGACTACGAGACGATACATAAACTTAAACTGAAAATACCCGCAGCATGAATAGTGTCAGAGTATAGTGAATTGTGATACTTCACATTAATAACGAGAAAGAAACCAGTTAATGAAATGGTAGCCCCATATTGATTTTTATCTCTTCATTTTACTTTTTAGCTAAAATCGCGTCAACCCATTCCCCGATGCCGACATACACCCAACACCTTCCTATCAAACCCAAGCCCCTCAGCACAACTCACTTCACGTACGTCAGCAACCGTACCAGCTGCACGGTTACCAAGGCGACGCCCAACATAACATTGCGTCATGGTTTGGACGGGGAGAACTCCAAGCTTCTCGGGAAGGTGAGCAACATGGAAGAATGTATTGCACTGTGCTGTAATAACATCGGCGGAAATACTGCGTTCCTATTGGGCGAAAGATGCTACGTGGTGCAATGCCCCCCCGGGAAGTTGTGCGACACAATACCCCTGGGAACAAAGGGCCTGTCCTCAGAGATTGCGTATTTACAGAAACCTCAGTCTCATCTTGATTACAACGGTAAGTAACCTCAATGGCGTGCTAATTCCTTGTGCACTAAAATACGGAGTACAGTTCATGATAACGGGACATCGCCACTCAATTTTCTTGTAGGAATCGATTCGAGAACAGCAAGTGAGATGAGGCACGCCCTATGCTCTGGCAAGCGCATTCTCAAAAACCATGCAATTCTTGGCGGACTAAGTGCCGGAAATTTCACGGAAATATCAGGAATCGATAGCATTGAGAACTGCACCGTTCTGTGTTGTCGAGAGAGGAATTGTGAGATGGCGATGCTGCTTAATGGCGTTTGTTTTGTGGGAAGCTGTCGGAATACAAAAAGATGTAAACCAGTAAAGTTAGCCAGCAGGGCTGGTATGATTTCCCATCTTGGTTTCAAAATTGGTCTGGTGGAAGACGTACTACAAGGTACATTGTATAAAGCTTTCACGAATTCTTTATTGAGCTTAACTCTTGATCAACTTTGACTATGATTATTAAAAGAGATGTGAGTTCAGTGAGTTAAAAACACAGCCATTTTGATAACTGGCTGTTAAGATAGACCTGAATGTAAAAAAAACAACTATAAAATTAAATTTATCAAATCTATGCATGCACGAATCTACAGGCAACCCAAATTACTATAATTGTTTAAGGGGATAAAAGTACTGTTGTTTGTGGTGTCACGAAACATACTAACATAAGTTTTTATTCACAGAGAAGCATATTGTGACCGCTCCGAACACACACAAAATCGTAAGCTACAGGCTGCCTGCACCAACGATCCTCAAGACCAGCACCTGCTCTGCAGAGAAAATCTATCACAATGTAACTTTAATCGGGGGTATGAAAGCTGCAAATATTACCTCGCTAGGGAAGGCGAGCAACATGCAAGAATGCATCGGAATGTCCTGTGATTACGGTCAGGGAGACCTGGTACTGATGTTGGAAAAGAATTGTTATACGGTGAAGTGCATCAACGAAAGAGTTTGCCAGACGGCACCAGCACAACCTTCAAAGTTTTTTTCAAGAGTTGCGTACCTCAAGTGGGGATCAACGATAAATGAAACAGGTTAGATCACGTTGATCATTTGGTTGGGTCCAGTATAGGTAGTATTCTACAATAAGCTGTCGTGGTTTATGTCTGAACTACGTGAGAAAGATATCTCGAACGTGGTGGTCCAGTGTAGGTAGTATTGTACAATAAGCTGTCGTGGTTTGTGTCTGACCTACCTGAGAAAGATATCTCAAACGTGGTGGTCTAGTGTAGGTAGTATTCTACAATAAGCTGCCGTGGTTTGTGTCTGACCTACCTGAGAAAGATTTTTTATACCCAGGACACACTCAAACTTATTTCTATTCCACGTCTTCTAGATCTCACTCTTGATCAATCGGAGTCCAAACGTTACCCCAGATGTTCCCGAAGTCACATTCTACACAATCACACCCTCAAAGGCGGCCTGCGCGCAGGCAACTTCTCCGTAATTTCTCAAGTGGACAGTATCGAGAACTGTGCAGCAATCTGTTGCAATGAGGAGAACTGTGACCTCGCTCTGATGTTGGATGAAGTATGTTATATTGGGGATTGTGCTAACCCTGATCTGTGCGTCCCAGTACCGGTGTTCGAAGGCTCACGAAGGACATCCCAGATTGCGTTCATATCTAACCCTAGGAAAGCTCTCGACAATGACCTCATTAAAGGTGATGTACTACAGTCTGATCTATCTGGTCTGCATTGAGTTGAAAAGAGTGATGCCATAAGCTCACCTTACATATCTTTTTAGATTACAGTATGATCTACATATTGGTTGGTTCCTTTGCAATGGTGATAAGTGTGGTTGGCATGATGTGGTCCGTATGTCTATGCATGACCAGGTAAGATACCAGAGCAGTACCTTTACCATTCACTGACCTATGCTAGAATATAGGTGAGTGTTACCAGTCCATATGAATAAAGCAAGACAGCATTCAGTCAGCATAGCAGATTAATCCCACTGTTATGTCAAGCTTCCAGCAAAATTTGGCGACCAAATCATTTCAATGCCGCTGTTATAACCTGCTTTATTCATGGACGCGTTCTTTTTCTTTAGAAAACGTTTAACCAAGGATAAAGATCGTTTATCGATGATGGACAAAGATGGAGACTCGCTACAGGATATGCAGATGTATTCACCAAGTCATTGGAGAAAGGAGAGTGGATTGCATTCTCTTGGAGGTACTGGTTAGATGACCTAGATCCCTCATTTGCAAGTCAAATGAAAAACGTTAGATGTATAGTCCAGATAACCCATTTCGGTTTAAGCGATTGTATGAGCTTATCCATGCAAGCCTTTTTAAAAGGCCCATACAATGTTTGTAGTTTGTTTGAGAATAGATCACTAACTGTGATAAAAATGTAATCTTTTAAGGTGGCTACACACACAACGGTCCACTGTTCCTAAGCGACAGCGAATCAGAAGATGAGAACGACTTCACAGCTTTGGAAGAGTATAAAAGGCATCGCGCGGAACACGAACATGGTACTGCTCAAACGGCTGAAGGATTATCAACAAACACCGCCGCTTTCACAGAGAAGAACTATATTGACAGAATGAACGCCATCAATCAGAAAGTACGAAAAAGTATGCAGAATTTATAGGAGAACTTAGGCAGCATCTTTGAATGGAAAGCGTAAGTAAATTGAACGGTTTTTCTTCGTGTCTAGAGGACAATTTTACTGGTGTTGATTGGAAATTTAGAGTAACTTTTTCGAAGGGTCTCTGCAATTAGAAATAATCCATTTCTGCAAGTAAAATGCTTTATACATTACATGGTGCGTAATTTTTAAATAAAGTAAAATAAACAATAAATAAATTAAAATAAACAATGAAATATTAGGCTATCAAAAAGTGAATTAAAATACGGTGGTTAGTTTCAAAAGTAGATCATAATAAATAAAAATTATAAAACTAATATATACGTACATGAAGTAGGACGTACATTAAACTAACTTTAAACCAATAAAAATAATGGTAATTTGTGAATAGAAGTATATGCAACAAGTTTTGTAGAAATTTATAATAAAGAGTGTTGAATAGACATGGAATCCGGGAGTTATTTTTGTGCGGTTAGTAATTTCAGTTCCTTTTCAACTTTGTCCACGAAATCTGGGAATCCTGGATCAGTGAGGCAGAGTCTAACCAATACTGATAAGTCAGATGTTGGCAGATTTGTTGTTGTTGTTGTTGTTGAACCAGTAGCTTCGTTATTAGAAACAATCTGTAAAAGAAAATCGTTGGCAAGGATAAGAGGTAAGGAAAAGGGTAACTCTAGTTCATCATTAAGGATGCTTTCTGACAGTATTTGAATCATCGTTATTAGTCGACAGTATTTGATTCATCGTTATTAGTCGACATCATTTCCGCAATTTTCTCTTTACTGGATGCAAGAGAGGTATTTGGGAATGAGGCATTCACTAAGTAGAAGACTCTACCTGTCTTGCGATTTCTGGCAAGCTTGAACCTTGTTTTGGTAAATGATTGTCTTCTTCCAAAGACATGTCCTGCACTGATTGCAATGTTTCACTTTGTGGTGTGGAAATGATCTGTGAATCTTCAACGAACTACGAGGAAAATACAACAAGAGTTAGAAGTACGACTTGTATGAAAGTTGACTGGATATAACTACGTTTATTTATAAATCAAACGAGCAAAGAACTCTCGTCATTTCTCCTAATTTCTCATTAACTATTCTGATCAAATCCTAAGAAATGCGAGCCGGAGAACTGTATAATAATCTGTTGGGAATATCAGTTCTTACTTGGGACTGTGACGCTTCAGTATTGTCCTGAAATTGAATCATTTTGATCGGCATGATTGGTGATGCTACTCTCACGAAATCCTTGCAGTTATCCACGCCAGTTTTTATACCAGTATTGGCAAACTTTACCCTGAATCTTCTCGAGCCATTCTGTGTCATGAAAGAGCGAATTTGAAGTGGAACAGAGTTGATAAATATAAATTAACAGGCTTTACTATGTAGATTTAGAGTAACGGAATTTAACATTACATTTAAACATTTAAAATGAAAGAGTAATCCAGCTTCGAACATGGGATTAAAAGACGTTAAATTTAAACCCTGATAAAGTAACGTGAAGAACATACATTTGTTTTTGCAACAAATAACACACTGTCTCCTTTGCAGTACGCTTTCAACCATTGTTCCGTGTTTATGAGAGCAAAACTTTCCTAAAAACACAGGATTAATATTACAGAAGGAATGAGAGCTGATGTCGATGAAAAAGATTCAAGTTGACAATAAAAAAAGAACGCCTGCATGTTCTTGAAAATTTGAAGTCGTCAGCTTATTGACATACGTTAATCTGAGAACCAGAACTCAACATAAAGTGTTTGCCTTCGATTAAAGTTATTTGCAGAGAGCCATCTCCATCTAAAGATGTAATTTGCTGAAAGACAAAAGATATCATTCTGAAAAAAACACCATGACTTATTATTTTCTGAGCGCAATTTCCTCAGAGAAAAGCCTCTCTGTCTCAAATAAGCTGCCTAAAAACCTCTCTCTAATGATACGACCACGCCCAGTTAGCTCAAAAGAAATTAAAAGACGCTACAAGCAAAATTCTAAGTTTCCAATAGCAAATGTCCATTAAACTTTTAAATTTGAAATATACAAAATAACCTTCCACTCTCCATTGCTCTTCACACCCGAGGACCCTTTTGGATTATTAACTGTAGCACTTTTGCATTCCCTATCAATATACTTTGCATATTTATCTAATAACCAAGACTTTATGTCATCCGATGCGGCCGCCATTTTGGATGGAATATAAATAATTAGTACTTTGTTTATGCAGGTCAATATGTGGGGATATCAAACGAAATATATCCTGAAAATATACACGCGTTTGGGATGCTACTCAAGATATTAAAGTTCGCCTATGAAAATCGTTGGGAAAAATCCTACACACAACAAATATGCTTTAGAAAATTCGGAAAATTTAAGAATTTTGTGACTTCAGCCAATCAGAGACCAGCATTGATTTGTCATAGAAATCTCGTTCACTTCCGGCTACGTCACACTTTCTTGTCCAGTGACTATTTTTACGTTTTGTTGATTTAAAGTCCTTTTGAAGTTTTCCTTGTTGTTTTTGGTTAATTTATGGAGTATTATTGCAAGAGGACCTAATCGCGGGATAATGGAGAAAGGCTGAACGGCAACAGCTGGAATTTTATCATCGAAACGTATATTTTTTGCGCCGAACGCCATGTGAACATCTTACAAAGAGGATGTACTTGTATTCAAAATGTCCAACTGGAATAATCGTCTGGTTTTACACACTATTTCTACAAGCTATTTTGATTAACACAGGTAGGTTTTAACGATAATTTTCCGCAAATTACCGCGTCTGCTACGAGGTTTTATATGTCGTGATTTTTTGCCGCGATCACTTTATAAATGATAATATTGTTTCAACGTGTTGATCTTGCGTCGTATTTCAGACAGGAACATTCAAAGGATCACGACCAGCTCTCGTCGCAAAGAATTTGAGCTGTGTAAAAAGGGCGAAACGTTACGGAATCATGCTTTAAAAGGTGGACGAAACGCCGGAGCATATTATAACATAGGGAAAGCGAGAACTTTTCGAAAGTGCATAGACTTGTGTTGTTCAGATGATGACTGTAGCCTAGCATTACATATCAAGAATAATTGCTACTCCGTGGAATGTACAAGTGCACAATTATGTAAACCTATTAAAGTACACAGAGCTATAAAACCATCGATTTTTCGTCGATATAGAGGTGAGTGTTTGGATTTTATGGATCAGTGTTTGATATGTTCATGCCTTTTGAAGTGACTGTTTTTCATCAGAGTTCTTGTTTGTAATTAGAATGTGACAAATTTGTCATTATTCAAGGTTCGGTTATATAGAACCTTGCAAAACAGTCACTCCTGGATTGTCTGTGTGAAATGTAACATTGGTTTAGCTATAAACTAAATCGATGTTATGTATATGTATTGCATTAGATCAGCTCAAAGTTTCAAATTTTAAAGCTGCTCTCTGAGTTATACATTTATCATAATTATGTGATTAATAATTAATCAAATGCTTTGTGGTCATTGTTTAACCTTCCCTAGAGGAAATTTGCATGAGAATGAGCATATAGTTTGTAGCAAGTACACAATTTTTTCCTTAAAACGACTGACAGATAAAGTCAATGGCCACTAAAGTCGTCCAGCCAATATTTTCTATCACAATCAGTGTCACATGCATGTAGGTTTTGACTAATTGATCACAGTCAGATATTTGTCTTGCTGTGATTGATTGTAAATTGCCTAACTGAAATACTGTAATGAGTGTTCCATCTTCTTTTGTCAAATCAGATAAAAACAATCTATATATGACTGTGGCATATTGAGATATTTATAAGCACCTTGCTGATTACAACATAAGCTTCAAAATAATAGGAATTGTAATCAACCTTTAAGGCTCTTTTCCAGTTATCGCAATGGTCATGAACTTGCAAGCTTGCTGTGTAGGTTTTTGTCCAATGAAATTGCTTTTAAGATGCAAGCGCTTGCAAGTGGGTTTTTGCAATGAATGGAAAAAGGCCTTTAGCAAAGCACTTTGAATACAGTACATAGCAATAGAAATTCTGTGATCATAAAATCAACTATTCTAATATCAAACTGTATTATATTTTCTTTTGTTCAGCTACTGTTAATCATGGTCGTGATACTTCATTACCGTAAGTACAATGGTTTACTACAAAAATTATAATTATACTGTCATTGATGAGAGAGTTGATAAAATATTCCATCAATCAACTCATCACCAAATATTGATCAATGCATTTATTGTAAGTTTGCTCAATTTCCAGTGTATTTGAACATGTGACCAATGTTTTCATGAACATGTACTGTAATGCCTTACAAGATTCTGATCCCTCAGGATGAATTTCATATTCTGGGTGACTCTCACCGACAGAAAGTGAAATGCTACTGTTATATCTTATTAAACACATTTAACCAATTTAGTATATTTAAACATCTTTGTTTGAAAATAGACAATCATCTAGATATTTATATATTTTTTGTTTTATAAGGCTTCCTGATCTCGCAGGATCAAATGTAACCTTGAAGCGAGAAAAAAGGTAATGGTGAACCTAAGTTATACTATATCTAGTGCACCCATTAATCTTGAAAGTTAGTTTGTACTTTGTATTATACGGCCATCTTCTTTCTATTAGGTTTGGATTCTGCCAAGCATACGCTGGATCAATATGTTCAAAATATCTTGATCCAAACAGACTTGTTTACTATGATGAACCACCAAAGGCTGTGGAAAAGCGGCTTTCGGGACCGCTCACTGTTATCCAAGGCCGTTTCAAATCCCATTGCAAGAAGTTTGCATTGCCAGCCTTGTGTTTGACTTCTTTTCCTTATTGTGATCCGAAACCACATCCTCAGCCTGTGAGACTATGCAAGGATGATTGTGAAGAGCTGTACAGTGGAGTTTGTAATCATGATTTTAACCTCGCCAAAAGAGTCGCAAAGAAGTATCCGCCTTTGCTGAAGATCATTCCAGACTGCGCAAATTTAACTGTCCCAATTAACAAAGGAGATGATTGTGTGAAGCTTGGATTGGACGAAGGTGAGATTTCATTCTGGAAGAGTTTATGATTTTGATTGATATTTCGTTTGTGTTTTGAAAAATGGAAATGAGAGTTGATGAAAGATTTAACTATGCTTTTTCGGCAAAAGAATATAAGATTGATATAAAATCTCTTGTTTACGAGTGCACACAATGCGGAGTAATATATTCAAATTGTGAAGTAATTTCTCCGACGTTTTACATCAACTGTATGCAAAATCAGTATCAACTAACTCAGTCTAACTGAATTAATGTCTTCATGTTTTAGATGATGACAAAGTTTCGACTGATTCAAGTACTCTGGAAACTATTCATGCTGAAAGCGACAGTACAATTCCGCCTGAGAAGTCATCGAGCTTTCATTCAACCCCTACACCAAGTGAAGCACCGTTAACCAAGTTTCGTTCATCAACTATGAAAACAACATCAGCAATCACGTCTCCATTTCAGCCTTCTCATTCAAGCGCAGACGGTCTCAACTTTGAAGTGAAAGACGACAGCGACGAATCTCCTTCAACACTGAGAACAGTCAAACCTAGTTCCGACAAAGAACTTCCTACAAAAGCCCACTCTACTGACTCAAAAATCATTCCTAGCTTTATTCAGACCACACAATCACAGGATAATAATGATAATATATCTTCTAATATTAATACCCAAATATCTTTTCAAAAATCAACGAACACTCCGTTTAACACAACACGAAATTCCGAAGGAAAAACAACGCATATTTTGACGACGGTTTCGCCAACAACTGTCACTCCATCTTCACTTCTTTCCAGTGTCTTCATGAAAGAAAAGCAAACGAAATTAATAGAGTTTGATAAAGATGAAAATGGACACAACGGTTCAGATAACACTAGCATACAACCTACAGTTGTGAATACGAATGATAGCACCAGTGAAATTGATTTCGAAACGAAAGATACGAGTAAGTTTTGAAAATCTAAACTCATCCAAAAATAACCGTGTGGTGTGGACAGAAATAGGAATTAATTCACTGAACGCTTCATTTTTATTTTGCAAATAGAAAGCCACATCGTATCAACTTCAGGACACACCAAGGCGCCGACTAAAGGTTAGGTTGTATTGTTTGTTATCTTGAATTATTTAGCACTGTGTATCAAAATGATTTTGTGGTTATAAATATGTACATTAATCTTCTGGTTTTCATTAGATCAATTTGTCTGCTGGGAGTTTCGCGCCAAAGGTTTTCGATTTTCCAAAGCTATATTGAATAGTTTAATCCTAAAATTTAAGGCATTTTCCGGCGTGCAGTGGAAAGGCCGTTTACTATATTTGTGACACGAAGCGACTGGCGTTTCTTCTGTCTGATAAATTTTCCCTTTATCAATATCATATTTGCGAATTTATGTCTCAGCTTGAATCTCCCAGTCACCTGAAATACATGGTTTTGCATTTTGTGTGTTGAAATTTCCAGCAAACTTTCAAAATGCAAGTCTTGTACATAAACTGAGCCGGCTTAGGTTGTATATAAGTGGCATATAAGTGGCTTACAGGCAGTGTCGCCCGGCCATGCAAATATATTTTATAGTGCCTCTGTAGACACCGCTGATGAAAATATTAACATCATTATATATATCCGTTTCTGTGGTTAATAATGATTCGAGGTTATCAACCAAAACAATCTCGTTGTCGATAAAAGATTGCAGTATAGTTAGTTACATTATCAATGAATGTTCCGGCGTAATACTAGCTGGAACTTTTCTGAATTTTCGACGATTTATGATTGCTATTTCAACATGGGGAGAATGTTCGCTAACTTCGCTTTTCGTAGTTTATTTGAACTGTTTCATTCAAAATTCCTCCGTCCGTTGTCGGGAAGATGTAGACGGTAAGAATCCCATTGTTTGCCGTTCATTTTGTTAGACAAAGCAGGTTTTGTGCACAATTTAAGCGCGGTAAAAGCAAAGCCAATTTGATTTCAGAACAAAATTCATTGTGCGAAATCCCGAAATCACAAAAGTTTGATGTCAAGTATATTATAGGACAATCAGAACTTATGTCATACATATATCCCAGAGTGTTTAAGAAGACAGATATTGGTGATAGCATGTTAAATTTCCGATATTTCATAACTTACAGCGATTTAATTCTTCTCCTTTTTTTTTAGGCTCCGTCGTACGTTTGCAAGTTTCGACAGTGGGTGATAAAGTGATAACGCTTCCAAAAGATACGGCAAGTCTATATGCAAGCGCTTGGCCAAAGGAAACCTCAGGTTATGAAATATTTAGATCGTTATCTTTTATTGCTAGTAATTTTAAATCGGTGCAAATTTGAATACTTTTTCATGAGAGTTTCTCGTTTAAGCAAGACCTCTCGTCCTTTTTTGAGGTTTAGCTTTTCTTGTCAAACTTGCACTGATGTAGCTAGCGAACTATAAGTTTCATTTATACTTGCAGCTCATCCATATTTGTACCAATGGCTCCAGATCTCGTCTCCAGAGAAAAGTCATGGCTATATGGAGGGGAAAAGCGCTCAAAGAGTTGTTCTTAGTCAGGTAAGTTTAAACCATCTATATCAGTTTGTAAGAAATATCTCCCTGTATTTATCAACCTTTTTTATTATTTATTTTGCTATTCTACTTTAGTTGAAAAAACCAGGTGTTTATCAATTGGAGGTGATCGTTCGTAGTCCGCATTACGCCTATGGCAACGCTTTTGTGAACGTTACAGTGGAGAAACGTAGGTTTTATTCAGTTTGTTTACTCGTGAGATATTGAATTGAATATGGAATATTCAAGGCCCTCATTCACCAAACGATACAACTTCTAGCACTTTTCTTGTCTCCTGTCGTTCAAAGTTACATATTTCATGAGAATTATATTTTTCATAGCGAAACGTGTGAATAAGCCTCCAAGAGCCGACATTTCTCCCAAGGAACAGTCCATAACTCTTCCCACAAACGAGGTGGTTTTGGATGGATCAAGTAAGTAATCCGATAATCCTTTTAATTTGAAAATCATTATCGAGTAATTTGATCTACTAAACCTACTCTAATTCAATCCTAAATGCATGGATGATGAATTGAGAGCAAATTTTGAGTCAAGAAGAACAAAGTCTGACGCCACGTCTAGAAAAAGCATCTCAAAATGATTTCATTGTTCAATGAAATTCATATTTCATATTCCCGATTCCAAGCTGCTCTTTTTACCCGTAGTCAAAATTTAGATCAAAACTTTGTTTAAGATGGAATCATCCGAACTATTCCAACGTAATCAAACGTATTTTTATTTTCAGAGAGTTCCGATGATGATAAGATTGTGGAGTATAAATGGCAGGAGTTAAAAGGTCCTTTGATTGAAAAGAACAAGATTATAAAGTCCGGAGTGGACACTCCAGTTCTACAATTGAAGTCCCTGTTGCCTGGTGTCTATACATATAAGTGAGTGAAAGAAACATTGAATAAACTCAGTTAAAACGTCATACGGTAGAGTCGAATTTTATGACAAGTTTTCATGACAAATAGTGTTTCGGCTGTTGGTTGAGAAGATCAATGGCTGGCTGAAGAGTCATCATCCTGTGAATCTACTGTGCTTCAAGCTATTTTGTCTCCAAACAGCGTTCCTGATTGTTTAATGTTGTATCATTGTTTAGACTGACTGTCAAAGATGCGGACGGTGAGACTGACTCAATCACAGCGACAGTAACTGTTAACGCGGGTATATGATTTCATTTATACTTGAACGTTAGAGGCTCGTTCGTGAAGTCTCTTTCATTGTGAGACTCGTAGATTTTCCCTGACTCTTGAATAACCGCCTCTGTATATATGTTTGTTTTGTTTAGAGAAAGATTATCCTCCTGTCGCTAGAGCTGGGAATGATGTGGTTATCACACTTCCTGAAAATTATGTTACTTTGTATGGGAATGGAAGCACGGATGATCACGTAAGTGTGTTGTGTTCTTTTGTACAATGTTTGTGGTATGGTATGGCCGGCACGGTATGGTACGGTACGGTACGGTACGGTACGGTACGGTACGGTACGGTACGGTACGGTATGGTGTGGTATGATATCTAGAAATATTAGAAAGCGTTTCTCTTATCTAGGGCATAAAAACATACGAATGGAGCAAAAGCCCACTGAGTCCAGCTTGTGATATGCAGGTATGAGATCATTCCATTTTACTATTTTAATAGCCAGCATTCCCAGCGTAAGGTCTGATAATCCAAATGTCATTTTCACAGGGAAGTACGGGTCCGGTACTTCATGTTTCTAACATGATAGTGGGCGATTATTCTTTCACGCTCAAAGTGACCGACTCTGGGGGACAAAGTTCCGAGTCTAAAGTGACGGTGGTAGTACGGCCTGAAAAAAATTCTCCTCCAGTGGCAAAAGCCGGAGACGATAAGGATCTTGTGATTCCTGACGACAGCACGACGCTGAGTGCTAGAGAGAGTAATGATGACCAGGAGATAACTAGCTACAAATGGGAGAAAATAAGGTCAGTCTCATTAAGCTCGTTAAGGATCATCTCTTATTGATCCAGTGTTACTACAGGAGAAAACCAGACTAAACTAACTTTATTTATACTGGATAGCTCTATCAGTTCTAAACTGTTCTTCCTAGAGGTCCAGTGAGGATCATCTCTTATTGATTCCATTTTACTGGAAGAAACCGAACTCTTGCTATAGTATATTTATAAGCTGTTTCCATCCATTATTCTAGCGGTCCTTCATCAGTGGTTATGACAGGAGCAAACAAGATGGTTCTGAACTTGTCACAGTTAAAAGAGGGGCACTACAAGTTCAAGTTGACTGTAACAGATAACAAGGGTCTCACAGGGACTGATACAGTGTCTGTTAATGTCAAGAGAGGTACGTTTTTCACGTACACGCATCACAATCGTGCAATTTAGTGAAATCGTAGCAATCTTTCATTTCTTCAGACGGAAACAAACCTCCACGAGCCAACGCCGGCCCGGATGTCTTTGTTAAGCTTCCAAATCGTGCGGCCGCTTTGGACGGCTCGAGGTCTTCTGATGACTATGGAATAATTAAGTACACATGGATACGAGACTTCAAAAGCCCTGCTGCTGGTGTAAGTTTCATTCTTAAAAAGAAACTGAGTTTATATATATTGGATAGCTCTATCAGAACTTTAAGCTGTTCTTCCATTAAGGATCGTCTTTTATTGATCCAGTGTTACTACAGGAGGAGACCTAAACTAAACTAACTTTATTTATACTGGATATAGCTCTATCAGTTCTAAACTGTTCTTCATTCTATTCGTGTTTCTTTAGGATGTGATAAATGCAGGGGCGGCGCCAGCCGCCCAAGCGTGGGGGGGACTTTTCGACCGCCGAAGGCGGGAGAAAACTAGGGGGGTCCGGGGGCATGCTCCCCCGGAAAATTTTGAAATCTAGAGTCTCTTAAATGCGTTTTCCTGCGTTTTGGGAAGCCTTTTTTTCTGAAAACCTATGCCACTTAAGCCTAAAAATAAGATGACCAGCTTTCTACAAAGAGTCAAGAATGAGTTAAAACTTTCACAAAACTTTTAAAACTGTATTGAATTCACGTTATATGTGAGTAAATAAGATATGATCTACATAAACAATTTAAAGAACAGAGTTTAAGTGCATAGTTGTATCCATGTCTACAGTGGAAGCTTTCGAGGCTTTGCGAGCTTAAATATTTCCACTAATTTGCTGAGTTCTATATTTGCTGCCACATCTCGTTCACAGCTTATCTGGACTAGATCCTCAAGTCTCTCAGGTGACATGGCAGCTCGCAAATAATTGTTTATAATTTTTACTTTGCTATGTGTGCGCTCACATGATGCCACTGTTACTGGCAAGGTAGCCACGATCTTAATGACTTCGAACAAGTCGGGATAAAGATGGTGTAGGTCATCATCGCTGAAAACATCGAGCAATGAGGGCAAACAGACCCAAGGTGTAACTGGAGAATTTTCATTGAGGCGATTAATATACGATTCAATCAATCATTGCTTTATCTTGTGCAAGAAAACGCCTGAAGCAGCTCTAAAGTTCAAGAGGTCGTTAAGATATATAATTAAAAATGCCACAACCTCTTGTCTTTTGTTTCGTATAAAATATTGCTAATATATAAATAAAACCACAATATTGCCCCCCCCCCATATTTCTCATCGGTTATGAACGAATTGGAAAATTGATTTGAAAGTGGACTGGGGGGGACATGTCCCCCCCAGTCCTCCCCGTGGCGCCGCCTCTGGATAAATGGCAGCAACCATCAGCCTGTTTTAAGGCTCTCAAATCTTGTCAAAGGTGTCTACAAGTTCCGATTAACTGTGGCAGACGCCAAAGGATTAGAATCTCATGATGAAGCTAAAATAATCGTCAAAGAAGGTTTGTACGTATATCCCATTAATAGCAACGAGGAGTACACTCACACACATTGAAACCTTATGCCACAACTAGCATTGAGGGAACATGAACCAATCAAATGCGTTCAACCTATTAGATCGACAAATCACAAGTGCGATAGATTAGCGAGAGGAGGGAACATTATCCAATCATATGCGTTTAGACTATCGTATCGACCAATCACGAGCTCTGCAAAATACCACATACAGTAGATGGCGTGAAGGTTGGATTTCAGCCTTGCCATAATTTTTTATTTCTTTGGGTGATATTTGATAAAACTCTCGGCCGAGTGAAAGTCGCTATAATCGTTGATTCAAATGCCTAAAGTACATAAGAAAGCTTCTCGGTCGACCAAAAACCATTCCTCAGGAGAGTTGCTATGAGCGAAAATATGCAGAGTTTTAAACACAGCTGTGTGTAATTTGATTTGCAGACGAAAACAGTCCAAATCTGGTCGAACTTTACCTTGATGTCGACGTGACGTCTTTCACTGAAGAAAACAAGGTATGTAGCTATATAGTTCGGACGAAGACTGCATACTTGACGTCATATAGTAGCGTATCTTCTTACAAGACAATGTTTATTCTTTTATTACTTTTCCTAGCGTCAACTGGTTAGAAAACTTGCTGTGACTCTTAATGCACAAGACAAGGATATCATTATTGAACATATTCAGCCATCCGGCCGTGGAAGAAGGTTAGTTAGAATATAAACATTCATTTTATTCACAATCTTTCGTGCTGAAAGAATCTCGAAAATTTAGCCATTACTGTAGAAAGTACACTGTAAAGCTTTTTTTTTAGTCTTTTGCCGATAGTCTTTTCTTCTAAATTTCCGTCAAAATCATCTTTGAAACTTCTTCTGGTATTTCAACCATAAAACATTCATCATTCCTATTATAATAGTGTTTAAAACAGATGTTTATCTAGATCCTACTGCATGTTTGTGAGCATGTTTGTGAGTGTGTGATGAATTTGGCTTGTAAATATAACTAAGTTTACGTTTAAAATTAGGTTCTTATAATGTGTCTTGAGATAACTGTTGTGGATCAAATTTTTCTGGAAATTTTCGATACCACCGGGCGCCAGTGATTTGGCGTTCATTCGTTGTTAACGCATACCGCGTCAGATTCTATCACTTGAAACGTATCAAAACTTTCATCATCGTGTCATATTTTAATGAGTCAAAACCATGCGACAACCACAGCATAAGATAACTTTGTATTCATTCCCAAACACTCCCTTGAAAAATCGGAATAAAGAAAAAAAGCATCGGAAAGACAACAAAGTAACTTTGTATTCTGTTGAATATACACGTCGATTTGAAGTGCAGTGTGCGAATTTTGAAGAAAATTGATGATATATGTAGAAAGAGTTAATTCGTGTTTAAAAAGTTTGTATACATACGTATGTCGAGTATATCTATCATAGATATTTACAATATTTTCAGAGAAATAGAGGTTTCTAATAGAGTAATAAAATAAACTCTAAATAGAGTGAAAAGAGGCCTTTTTCAATGAAGAAATGGACTCATTAACTAAGAACTTGTTTAACTGTCCATTCTCCGATGGAAATCGGTCTGCATGGTATCTGTCAATTTTAAGAAATGCTTTCGTGTATACGTAACATTATATTTTGTTATTTTTTCTTAGTTTGGTGATATTGTTCTATGTACGAGACAGCTTAATACACCAGCCGAGAAATGGCAAGGATATCGCTTATTTGTTGAGACAAAAACTCAACGACAATTTTTTTGAATTCAGAATGCAAGAAGTTGAGCCTTACGGTAAGTACTATAGCTTATAAGGTTTACTTACGGAAGAATATGCATAATCTATTTTATTCCTCTATGTCTTTTTATGTCTAACGTTTGTACTAAATCGTCGTTATATTTGCAATTGAATGCTTTTTAGATCAACATACACTATTCCTTGTTTAGTTTGCAGAAATAATTGTTCGGGACATGGAGTTTGCGACCAACACACGAAACAATGTATATGCCAAAGTTTCTGGATGCAAGATCCTTTTAAAGCAAGCTTTGGGCTTCGTGAAAGCAACTGCGGTAAGCCAAAAACACTTGATCTGTTGAACCGTCTTGCAATTTGTGGTTGTTATACAGCTGGTTCCCGCAGCTGGTCAACGTCTTTGACAAAAGAATACAATTTATTCCAAGTTTATCCCAGCCTGTTTTCGCACAGCTCCGCCGGTTGTATGCCTATATATGATTTAGAAGGATACTACTTGAAGTGAAAAGGTTTTACAGCCATGTGCACATTCACGGTAACGTTTCCGAGCGTTTTCACATTCGTTTTCATGCCAAAACGGTTTCAAACACTGTCAGTTTACATACAATAGAAGTTGAACCTAATTTAACATATTGAACATATTTTTCCTCGGATCGTCTAAACAATAAAATAGACAAAAACGATTTTGAAAACGCTCAAAAACGATGCTCGTGTGCACGTAGCCTTAGATATAAAATTTTGTTCTCTCCAAAGTGCCTTATAATATCGTTGTTTTTTGTTTAGACTGGAGTATTCTTTATGTGACGGTGATAATCTTCGCCGTCATCGTAGCGATTGTCGGAATCACATGGGGCGTTTGTTTCTGCATGGGCAGGTATGTTTCTAGTTTCACTAACCGGGATTAATGGCATGCATAGAGGAAATGCTGGAGTACATTCATTTTTCCTACCACTGGAAAGTTAAGCGTACTTATCTGGGACCGGAGAATGTCAGGTCATCACATGCAGACTTATAATATGAGCTCATGCATTGTGCGATCCAGTTGGGATGATGCCTGCAGTATCAACACCATTCACCTTTAACAACGTTCATTTCTCATTCGCAGCATCGCTTAAATTTAATTGTTTGTTTCAGAACAAGGAGTCGTAGACGGAAGCATCAGTATTCCATCATTGGTGATGAGGATAGTGAAGATGCAAAAAATGCGACAATGGAACTATTTCCACGAGGTAAATTTCCCTAAAAACAAACCTTAAAGGCCCTGTTACACGGTGCAATTTTTCTTTTAAAAGATGTAAATTTTGCAACTATCAAACTTTTGTCTTTATTATATTCCATGGCGTTTCTTACACATTTTGAGGGCTCTCTTCTAATTTACATCTCTTATAAGTAGAATTGCATGGCAAGTTGCAAAAAAATTGCACCGTAGTCGCTGCTAAAGTTACCTGTTATCTTAAAGCAAAATTGAAGAAGCTTATAATTACTGTAGGGAGAGAAGCTTGCGAAAACTTTTCCATTCATAGCATCTCGATTGCCAAAAAAGGCTTCTATAGAGGTGAGGAGACGTCTCTTCAACACTTACAGCCTTTATCCTGCTTTAGATAAATTTCTCAACTCGAGCATAATGAGTGAGACAGATATGGATTCGGACGAGGAGACTTTGTTCGAAAATCACAAACCTTTTAAACCAGGAAGGACATCTCAAATGAACGGAATGATTAATGGCGGGAAAAAGAAAAATCATCACACCTGACCGTTATTATATATTTTAGACGAGAAATTAAATTAAGGATGAGATTAACAATTAGTTATAATAAAATTATTTAAATGAAATTATATTGTAAAAATAATATTAATTTCTATAAAAACCCCAAGACTTTGGTAAATATGCGGGGTTCTACAGTTAATCGTATGAAAGTTTCTAAGCTTTTGAGCAACAAACCTTTTAATCAGAGCATGAATATTAATTAATAATCACTCTAAGAAAATTTCCCGAAGAGATTGTTTTCACCTCCCAATGAGGCATTTCAGTCACAAATAACTATAATAACTGCTGTCACTTTGATTCCCACGCTGACTGTTCAATGTTTATGGTTTGTAAACGTATGGTACGAAGAATGTTTTTCAATAGAATTTGGAATAAAAAAAAAAGTAGAACGAAAACACAGTTTTTTGTCCGAAGGACGAATAGTCTAGTTGAGAACAATTGCCTCGACAATGCCATCTAATTTAAATATCTTGCATCGAGAAAATGTTTTCATCATCACCCCAAAGAAAAGATTTAGGTAAGATAGAAAAATACAGCTGTGGGTGTCGAGAGTCGATAATCCTGGTAAGAATGTTTTTCATTAGGTCTATGGTTTTTAAGGGCCGTTGTGATGGTGTAGTGGTTAAGACAAGTGACTGGTAAGTTCAGAGGTGGTGGTTCTAGCCTGTGGTGGGAATAAAAGAAAAAAAAGTGAAAATAGTTTTTGAGTGGAAGTGTTGGAAGAAAGGTTTAAGTGTGTCAAAAGATGTATGGATTTCAAGAGCAGTCATGATGGTGTAGTGGTTAAGACAAGTGACTGGTAAGTTGACAGGTGGTTGCTCAAGCCTATGAAGGGCCAAGAGATGAAAAAAAAATAGGAAAAAAAGAAAAAAAACTGGAAAAAAACTACTTTGACTTCACTTCATTAAAAATACAAAACAATCGCACCGTAACCATTAGCTGAGATTTTACTAAGAAAGTGTTAGGTAATATAGAAAAGGTGTAGCGGAAGAATTTTAATTTAATTTAAAATTCTTCCGTCGCAAAGTATTAGGTCAAATAAAGAACAATAGGCTTTCGACAAATGACGCGGTGGTCTAGTGGTTAAGACCTTGGTCTGTCAATCCTAAGACCAATGTTTCAAGTCCTGGTAATGCAAAGAAAATTAACCTTAGAAATTTCGGTATGATTTGAAAGCTTAAAAAAGTTAGGACTTTCAGTCTTCAAAAGTGCTTGTAAATTTGAAAGAAATTGGAAATAAAAAAAAATTGAGAAACCTTTGAAAAATTTTCGGTTCATAAAAGTACGTGAAATTGATGAAAATACGCAAGTCAAAAAATGTTTAAAAACATGTGTCTCCTAAAAAGGTTGAAAATTAAAACATGTCCGACTAACAACTTTAAAAAAAGTTTAAAAATTTCCCGTCTTTAATGCTAATGTTTACTTACCTTAATAATTTTTTTCACGAAAATTTGCCAGGGTGATTTTCTCGAGACTGAAAAAATTTACTTTTTTTCACTTTTTGGAAATTCTCTTAGATTTTTTTTTTGACGAAGAAGTATTTTGTCTTGGGCTACCTGTGTTGGTCTTGGGCTACCTGTGTCAGGACCAACACAGGTAGCCCAAGACAAAATACTTCTTTGTCAAAAAAAAAATCTAAGAGAATAGAAAAAAAATTAGAGAAAAAAAATAAAAAAAAAAAACTAGATAAAAAGAAAAAACTAAAAAAAAAACTAGAGAAAAACTAACTAGAAAAATAGAAAAAAAAACTAGAGAAAAAAACTAGATAAAAAGAAGAAAAAAATAGAAAATAAACTAGAGAAATAGAAGAAAAAAATAGAAAATAAACTAAAGACCACAAGACAAAAATCAAGTTTCTTCTTAAACTTTTCAAAAGACATTTAGAAAATACTTAGAGAAAAACATTAAGTAGAAAAATAGAAAAAAAACCTCGAGAAATAGAAGAAAAAACCAGAGAAAAAAACTAACTAGAAAAACTAGAGAAAAAAACTAGAGAAAAACATTAAGAAAAAACTAGAGAAAAAAACAAAGTAGAAAAAAAACTCGAGAAATAGAAGAAAAAACCAGAGAAAAGAAAACTAACTAGAAAAACTTGAGAAAAAAACTAGAGAAAAAAAAACTAGAGAATAAAAGACAAGAGAAAATAGAAAAAAACTAGAGAAATAGAAGAAAAATAGAGAAAAAAAACTAGAGAAATAGAAGAAAATACTAACAGGTTTAAATTAGAAAAACTACTAAAAAATACTAAGAGGTTTAATTTAGAATTGTCAAGTCACACAGAAAGAACTTGCAAAATAAAAACACTAACACCATCAGACGAAAAAGGTTTATTTCTTAAACTTTACAAAGAAAAAAGGTTTATAAATCCAAGTTTTGAAAATTGTCACATAATTTATCACACTTCACACTAAAAAATATTAATTAATGAATTTGGGTGCCTTTCAACTTTCTTCAACACTAAAGAAAAAAAGAATTTCATCAAAAAAATAATAAGAGAAAATATATTTAGAAAAAATACTAATACAGTGGTCCCTCGCTAACTCGAAATCCCAAGGGGAAAGAAAAATTGTTCGAGTTACCGGGGGTTCGAGTTAACCGGAGTTGGTGTCAGATTACGTTTATTATATAAGTAATACAATAAGATATAAAATCCAATCGAATCATTCTTTAAGGAATACGAGGCCTCTCAATATGAATGGTCAGCGAGAGTGAACGACGTTTTAAAATTAAAAAGATCGAAAGAATACAAAAGGAACTAAAAAAGTTAGATCAATAACGACCGTAGCACCACACAAAACTTTTAAAATTTATAAGCATTTATATACAATTATACACTGATTAACTTGTTGTTATTTTGATAGTTTCCAGTTGTCAAAATTCTATCTTCTCACATTTTAAAGTTTGCTGATCTATGATTCGAAACCAAAGTTCGAGTTAACGGGATATATTTGACCAAGGGGAAACAAAATTTGTTCGAATTAGCGAGGAGTTCGAGTTAAGCGAGTTCGAGTTAAGCGGAGTAAATTACTATAAAAAACACTATCAAATTCAAGGGGAATTGGATTTAGTTCGAGTTAGCGAGGAGTTCGAGTTAGCGGGGGACTACTGTACTAAGAAGAAATTAAAGAGAAAAGAAGTATGAGAAAAAGCCAAAAGCAACTGCCAAAATATTTTCAATTGTGAAAAGCACAGGGAAAAACATGCAAAATCAAAACACCAACACCACCAGACAAAAAAGGTTTACTTCTTAAACTTTAAAAAGAAAAATTTCTCTTTATAAATCCAAGTTTTGAAAATTGTCACATAATTGATCACATTTCACACATGTTATCACACACTAAAATATATTAATTAATGAATCTAGGATAGGGCTAAAATAATTCAGGTTCTTCTGGGGTGCCTTTCAACTTCATTCATTCTAAAGAGAAAAAGCATTTCATCAATCCTTTTAGGCAAAAAGTTTGTATTTTCAACCTGACATCATTATTAAAAGATATTACTCATTATCTTACTTTAGTCATCTTTCATGGATAGACAATACATTCATGAATGCATTCTGTTTTATGCCAATCATATTTTTGCCATTTTCAATAAAAAGAATGTGTCACATGCATATATTCAACCCAGACATATGTCACTATTTAATTTGAACACAGAAAAACTGGGTACCACCCTTCTGAGTACTACAGAATATAAATCACACGGAAATCAGAAAAATTTCTCCCAAGTTTAAAATAGTAATTGCTGGTCTTTTTCGTGGATATTAATTGTAAGACAGGAATTTTAGTAATTAGCGAGACTGGTTCACCTGTTATAGCATTAAGTTTCATCATTGGTTTCACACATGGTGACCATAGAAGCAAATTACAATTTCATTGTTGTCATCTCAACAATGTAGTGGCTTTTTAAAATCAAATGCTGACCAACCATGACAAAATCAAATTACCTCAGTGCAGATATCTTGCTCACTTTCCAATCAATGTACATTTGACAGTAAAGTTCATATCCACAGCAGCTCATGTGGCTGGTTGCACTCTTGACCAAGGAAAATCTTGAATATATAAAGAAGACATTATTAATACAAAATTTCATTTTCAACTATCTTAATTATTGTTTAGTTTTTCGTCAGGTATTCTATGGTTACTTCATCCCTCTATATATAACTATGGTTGCTATATTTATTCAAAGACCAGCACAGGAATTTATTACTGGTGACACATAGTGAGTATAGAAGCAAAGTTCACTTAGTAATCTTAACAAAATTGTGACTGCCTGACGATTTTCATGAGAAAGATCCTAGTTGCAGCAAATTCCCCCTTATAATAAATAACAAAATATATATCCGGGCAGTTGATATGTATTACAAAGTCACTACAAGAATTTCAGCTGCAAGGCTAATATAAATTTTGAAGGAACAATCAAATTACCTCTGTGCAGAAATCTTGTTCATTTCCAATGTTCATCTGACAGTAAAGTTCATATCCACAGCTCATGTTGCACTTTTGACCAAGGAAAATCTTGAATATATAAAGAAGACATTATTAATACAAAATTCCATTTTCAACTATCTTAATTATTGTCTAGTTCTTTGTCAGGTATTCTATGGTCACTTCATCCCTCTATATATAAGTATGGCTGCTATATTTATTCAAAGACCAGCAGAGGAATTTATTACTGGTGACATGTAGTGAGCAAAGTTCACTTAGTAACCTTAACAAAATTGTGACTGCCTGACGATTTTCATGAAAAAGATCCTAGTTGCAGCAAATTCCCCCTTATACTAAATAACAAAATATATATCCGGGCAGTTGATATGTACTAAAAGGTCACTACAAGAATTTCAGCTGCAAGGCTAATATAACTTTTGAAGGAACAATCAAATTACCTCTGTGCAGAAATCTTGTTCACTCCCAATGTTCATCTGACAGTAAAGTTCATATCCACAGTTCATGTTGCACTCTTGACCAAGAAAAATCTTGAATATAAAAAGACATTATTAATATAAAATTCCATTTTCAACTATCTTAATTACTGTCTAGTTTTTGGTCAGGTAATCTATGGTTACTTCATCCTTCTATATATAACTATGGTTGCTATATTTATTTCAAGACCACCACAGGAATTTATTACTGGTGACACATAGTGAGTATAGAAGCAAAGTTCACTTAGTAATCTTAACCAAATTGTGACCGCACTGACGATTTTCATGAAAAAGATCCTAGTTGCAGCAAATTCCCTCTTATACTATTGAAATAACAAAATATATACCCAGGCAGTTGATATGTATTACAAGGTAGTGACAAGAATTTCAGCTGCAAGGCTAATATAAATTTAGAAAAAACAATCGAATTACCTCTGTGCAGAAATCTTGTTCACTTCCAATGTTGACCAAGGAAAATCTTTAATATAATAAGACATTATTAATATAAAATTGCATTTTCAACTACCTTAATTATTGTCTAGTTTTAGCAGAAGGCACACAAACAGTAAAGTAAAATACTTAACTTTGACCAGACAGCACAACAATCTTGCTCAGAAAGGTCCGCGAACGGTCCACGTGTATAGTTTTCTTCGGCATCGCCATTTTGAATTCGGCCGGGCGAGTCTTGAACTGATTTCTATTTCAACTGTTCTCTTGACGTTCGTCTTGATAACTAGCTGTTGAGATAAACGTTAATGACAAAATCTTCAGTTCTGCTTCAGTCTATGGGTGCGGAAATTGCTCATGACATAAATTTTCAGTAAAAATTATCATCATTGCAGGCAAAATTAAGCTCGAAACTTTAGATAACCTTGTACGAAGAATATTTCATATTGTATATGTTTTTTTGTTATTTCTGGCCGACAATTAGCAGAAGGCACACAAACATCAAAGTAAAATACTTAACTTTGACCAGACAGCACAACAATCTTGCTCAGAAAGGTCCGCGAACGGTCCACGTGTATGGGATCGCCATTTTGAATTCGGCGGCCGGGCGAGTCTTGAACTGATTTCTATTTTTTATTTCAACTGTTCTCTTGACGTTCGTCTTGATAACTAGCTGTTGAGATAAACGTTAATGACAAAATGTTCAGTTCTGCTTCAGTCTATAGGTGCGGAAGTTGCTCATGACATAAATTTTCAGTAAAAATTATCATCATTGCAGGCAGAATTAAGCTCGAAACTTTAGATAACCTTGTACGCAGAATATTTCATATTGTATATGGCTTTTTGTCATTTCTGGCCAACAATTAGCCGAAGGCAAACAAACATCAAAGTAAAATACTTAACTTTGACCAGACAGCACAACAATCTTGCTCAGAAAGGTCCGCGAACGGTCCACGTGGATGGTTTTCTTTGGCATCGCCATTTTGAATTTGGCCGGGCGAGTCTTCACGTTCATCTTGACAACTAGCTGTTCAGATAAACCTATATACAACGAAAAAAAAGGGTTCGGCTCAGCTACACTGTACTCCTTAAGGAAGGCCTACGGCCTTCCCGTAGATTAGTGTAAAGGCCTACAGTGGGAACTAGTCAACTAGCAGCGTGCGGGGGACCAAAACGCTCTAGGCAAACGGTCCCCCTACTGGGGTCGGACAAAGCAACCGCAGATTACGCATATAATCGCCGGAACCCACCTTTTAGTCAACGGCGAACTCCTTCTTCCTCGAACAATCTTCAATCTTGCTGAGCTTCGATCTTGCTGTCCACCTTCGATCGCCACCAATCTAAAGAAATTTTTTTTTAACGTTGAGATTATTTTTATAGGCAATAATTACCATGTGATCATAGCAGATCACGTGGTATGATAATGTACGACAACATGCCGATCAACTCTGAACATCATCGTGAGCGATGTTACTGTAAACGAATCACTAAAAGCCTAGAATAAAGATGTCCACATAAAACAAGGTACATTTATCTGTAAGACTATATGGCATTCACTGTTAACAGCTGGGTTGGCAGGGTAGTCTATAATTGCTCCACAGTTAGCCACGAGGCTGTTAATAAACAGCCTCATAGCTAACTGTTTCATATAGCAAGTTTACTTACGACTTGTAGTGAAGTAATCCCATTGTAATCAAGTAATCTCTTTCTTCTCAACATCCTTATCCTTCACTTTTATTTGATTCAATCTTTATATTAATAGGAACATTGCTTGGGGCAATGAAATTTGGAGATGTTATTCCTTGGGATGGAGATGCTGACATATCTAATATCCACATTGAAAAATTCAATCCGTCTGTTCAAAAATTCTGAGAAAAACTGAGTGTTTTATTAATGAAAACTAAGGATACCACATGAAACCATTATCCACTTTTGTCAAACAGCAAAACATCTGTGAAAATTGCTTCTATGATAATGCAAACTCCAACAAAATTGTTAAAGCGAAGTACATGCGTGTCGAGTACTGTAGCTCAATGTGGTTATTGTGGGATTATTACTTGCTCACTAGTCACTACGACTGCGCCAGCGTTTCTTTGTACTAAATTAATTCCACTTTTATGACAAGATATTCAGCTCCGGGTTCGTGGCTCCGGGTTCGCGAACCCGGAGCTGGCTCCGGATTCGAGCGAACCCGGAGCTGGAGTGGCTAGTTTTCATACAAACCGATGTGGCCGCTTCGCTTTTGATGGGAATCGAAAAATTTAAAAAGGCCATTTTTCTTTGTTATATTATCAAGAACATGGCCTAAAATGAGAGTTTTTTTTATTTACTTTGCTCGCAATAGCTCCGTGAAAATGGCCATTTTTTTCGCAAAGTTGACTGGTCAGCGGCACGGGAGACCGCCAGGCTTTATAAAAGTTCGATTTACTAGCTTTACGACGAGTTTTTGTAAAAACTAAAAGATAGCCATTCGAGAGAAAGCTTATGAGAATATCCTTATAGTTCTAACCTTCTTCTAGCTTGCGAAACCACGACAGGCAACTTCTGTAAAGTCTAGCTGTCTGATTTAAACCACGCACCCGTGGCATAAATTTAATCCCTTCGGAAAGGCAACTAACCCGGTTTCTGCAGATTTTCGTTTTTCCACATTGGTTTATTGAACTGTAAATGTCATATCATCAATGCTAACAATTATTCGAATACTCTAAGCAAAAAAAGATCTCTTCTACCTGTAATATGCTACGGAAACAACACCGTCAAACAAGTGTACACAAAGCGACTCAAATCGACAAACGGCCATTGCATGCTAAGTACGCTTTTCATCGCCGAGATTTTTTCGCTGATTTCTTCGCTAATTCGACTTTAAATAAAATTCTAAAAGATGGCCATTTGAGATATACATTCATACTCTTCCACCACAAAGATTTGAGGTTCTAGGATTCGTATCCAGTGAGCACAACTCCTGAGAGTACATGCCGTCAGAATTCTGTCACGACCCGACATCATTAACATTACAACCTGATGGACACAACCGCCATGTTTAGAGCAAATTCACGCTTTAGCGGACAACGCTGGTAAACCATAAACCCCATATTATTATTGTTAGCCATCATTCGAATGCTTTACGCTAAAAATATCTTTACTTCTCTTACTACACGGCGCAAACAGCATCGCTAAACGATGGTCTTAAAAACGGCTCAAGTTCTCAAACGTCAGAAATATGTCAAATAAGCTGAACATCACTCGGATTGTTTCGAAAATTTCGTCGCTGTTTCGACTTCATATAAAATTCTAAAAGATGGCCATTTGAGATTTATATTCATACTACACCATGAAAGTTTTATAGGGCTTCGGGATTCATATTCAGCGCCAACAACTCACGAGAATACAAATTTTGTTGACAACAAACTCTCGGGCGATGATAATTAACATTGTCATTGTTTTGATCTCAGGGAAAACCCATCAGGAAGATCGGGTGATTATTTAATTCTGTACTCGGGTAGTAGACGTTTTTACTTTACCACTTAAGCTTAGACCTTTAAACTGATTATCACTAACCTTTCTTGAACGCGGTTTTCTCTCTGTGATTGCTGTTTTCATGCTCATAACCGGCAAGCGTTCCAAGTTTTTATGTTTAGATAGAAGCACTCGTATGATCGTATTAGAATGAATCTGACCAATACAAATAAATCGGATTTTTTCGATGTTTAAAATCAAATTTAAAAATTATTAAACGCAAAAGCACGCGGTTAAAAACGTCTACTACTCGAGTACAGAATTAAATAATCACCCGATCTTCCTGATGGGTTTTCCCTGAGATCAAAACAATGACAACGTTAATTATCATCGCCCGAGAGTTTGTTGTCAACAAAATTTGTATTCTCGTGAGTTTTGGCGCTGAATATGAATCCCGAAGCCCTATAAAACTTTCATGGTGTAGTATGAATATAAATCTCAAATGGCCATCTTTTAGAATTTTATATGAAGTCGAAACAGCGACGAAATTTTCGAAACAATCCGAGTGATGTTCAGCTTATTTGACATATTTCTGACGTTTGAGAACTTGAGCCGTTTTTAAGACCATGGTTTAGCGATGCTGTTTGCGCCGTGTAGTAAGAGAAGTAAAGATATTTTTAGCGTAAAGCATTCGAATGATGGCTAACAATAATAATATGGGGTTTATGGTTTACCAGCGTTGTCCGCTAAAGCGTGAATTTGCTCTAAACACGGCGGTTGTGTCCATCAGGTTGTAATGTTAATGATGTCGGGTCGTGACAGAATTCTGACGGCATGTACTTCAGGAGTTGTGCTCACTGGATACGAATCCTAGAACCTCAAATCTTTGTGGTGGAAGAGTATGAATGTATATCTCAAATGGCCATCTTTTAGAATTTTATTTAAAGTCGAATTAGCGAAGAAATCAGCGAAAAAATCTCGGCGATGAAAAGCGTACTTAACATGCAATGGCCGTTTGTCGATTTGAGCCGCTTTGTGTACACTTGTTTGACGGTGTTGTTTCCGTAGCATATTACAGGTAGAAGAGATCTTTTTTTGCTTAGAGTATTCGAATAATTGTTAGCATTGATGATATGACATTTACAGTTCAATAAACCAATGTGGAAAAACGAAAATTTGCAGAAACCGGGTTAGTTGCCTTTCCGAAGGGATTAAATTTATGCCACGGGTGCGTGGTTTAAATCAGACAGCTAGACTTTACAGAAGTTGCCTGTCGTGGTTTCGCAAGCTAGAAGAAGGTTAGAACTATAAGGATATTCTCATAAGCTTTCTCTCGAATGGCCATCTTTTAGTTTTTACAAAAACTCGTCGTAAAGCTAGTAAATCGAACTTTTATAAAGCCTGGCGGTCTCCCGTGCCGCTGACCAGTCAACTTTGCGAAAAAAATGGCCATTTTCACGGAGCTATTGCGAGCAAAGTAAATAAAATAAAACTCTCATTTTAGGCCATGTTCTTGATAATATAACAAAGAAAAATGGCCTTTTTAAATTTTTCGATTCCCATCAAAAGCGAAGCGGCCACATCGGTTTGTATGAAAACTAGCCACTCCAGCTCCGGGTTCGCTCGAATCCGGAGCCAGCTCCGGGTTCGCGAACCCGGAGCCACGAACCCGGAGCTGAATATCTTGTCATTCCACTTTTTATATTGTTTATAATGTCATTAATATCATTATATATGGACGAACAAAATAAGCGCGACACGGGAGTATCACGTGCAAGTCAAAGTCTGGGCCGCCCATGACTTCGCGCATGAAACCTGCGGTAAACAGCTTCTTCCTCACCAAAATATGAATTTCAGACGAATTTACACTTCTTTAAGACGCTATCTATTGCGATACACTTGGCGCCAAATAACTAAACTTATTTGCTTCATATTTTTTCTGACCATTATTTTGTTACATTTTGTGTTATTACCCGCCGTGACAGGGGCATACAACGACGATTGTTACCTAACCGACAACAAATTAAACAATCTTCGTCATATGATACTTACATCTGCAAAACTGATGGAAAAATATAAAATGACCTATTGGCTAGATTTTGGTAAGCCAACATATTAATGTACATTAATTATCAGCCAGGTAATATTCTGTAATGTATACCTGATTGCAATGTAAACAATGATACAATTATAGAATACCCTGCCAATTATGCATTATGTTAAATCTCTGTTAGAGGATCAATTTTAGAGTATAGAATTGCCCCGTTCTTTAAAAAAAGTGTTTATTCTTGTTCTCTGGAGGTCCAATTCATGCATTAAGAAACATAAAACAAGGTACATTTATCTGTAAGACTATATGGCATTCACTGTTAACAGCTGGGTTGGCAGGGTAGTCTATAATTGCTCCACAGTTAGCCACGAGGCTGTTAATAAACAGCCTCATAGCTAACTGTTTCATATAGCAAGTTTACTTACGACTTGTAGTGAAGTAATCCCATTGTAATCAAGTAATCTCTTTCTTCCCAACATCCTTATCCTTCACTTTAAATTGATTCAATCTTTATATTAATAGGAACATTGCTTGGGGCAGTGAAATTTGGAGATGTTATTCCTTGGGATGGAGATGCTGACATATCTAATATCTACATTGAAAAATTCAATCCGTCTGACATGAACAAAGAATTTGCAACCTACGGTATCCATAGAAACAGTTTGGTTGCGCTAGTTAACCACACACAACTGGACTATTATAGGTGGACTGTGCATGATGGTATATTTAATGGTATTAAACAAAAGGTACTCAAGAAGTATTACCTAAAATGGATTACAGATAATGATAATATTTTTGTAAAGTTGGAGCACAGTCGTGAAACTGTACCTTTGGCATGGGTGGTGCCAACAAAGACAATAGACTTTCTTGGTATCCCTGTTGCAGTTCCAGGGCAATATGAGAGAATGCTTGATGCTCGGTACCCTATGACCTACCGGTACAACATATATACACCGTACAAGTGGAAATGCTGGTTACCCTGTTGGTTAACTGGTGAAAAATCTTGTAAGCGTTATTTCGCCAAAAAATCAAAACAAAACGCAAAACACGCTTTTCACTAATTTTTCTATTTGTATACATTTGTAAATTAATTTTCTATTCATGAATTTGTATAAAATTATTCTGGTTATAATCTACAATAACAATAAGAAATATTGTTACTATCATGGATGGAACGACCTACATCAGCAATCATTATCACAATGTGTAAAACAGTTGGTGAAACTCGTCACCTAATCCCTACTTCCCTTGTACTTTCAAGTCCACCACACCTGACTTAATATGTTCACACATTGCTTGTTCAAAACCCTGGGAGCCTAACACTAAAAGCTGCAATAGAACTTTTATCTTCTAAAATTTTGAGAGAAACTATTGAAACATGCTAGGAGCCAATTGTACAAATACTGGTTTTTCCATCACTCTAAAATTACCTGTGTTTTAATTGGTACAATTTGAATTGAAATTTCCTATTCTTGAAGTAGTGTTTCTCTTTATTTACTTTTGAGTCATTAATGTCAACAATCTTATTACTTTCTAATGATGAAAAAAGTACTCTCTGCTGGATAGACACATCCAGACTTCATACAACTAGCCTCAGAAGATAGACAGTATTTATCAACTTCTGTATGTTCAAAAATTCTGAGAAAAACTGAGTGTTTTATTAATGAAAACTAAGGATACCACATGAAACCATTATCCACTTTTATCAAACAGCAAAACATCTGTGAAAATTGCCTCTATGATAATGCAAACTCCAACAAAATAAATGAACCATTCTTTTTCATTATCAAGTTGTTTCCCTCGATGCAGCCACCACTGGGAAAATACATAGATTTTATATATACCGGTATATATATTTTATATTGTATATATACGGGTATATACTGTATTATATGTACTAGCTGTTCATTTCCAAATTTAATTAAAAGAAATATAACAGCAGTACTTACAAGAGCAATTTCCACAAATATATACACATATATACGTATAGTACAGTATATATACAATATAATATATATAAAAATATATTTTATATTGTATATATACTGTACTATACGTACTGTTTATTTCCAAATTTAATTAAAAAAAATATAACAGCAGTACTTACAAGAGCAATTTCCACAAGTGTTATACCTGCAAAACATTAATATACATCAATATTTCATAAAATTATTCTCAACAATGCAGCTGCAAATAATGGCAGTTGAATTTTAGCAGGTACGGTAATGGCAGTTGAATTTTAGCAGGTACGGTTTCTATTAATAAAAAGTGCACTATTATGATACACTTACAGAAAATGCTAAATCCTAACAACACATAAGAAACGTGTGTTGAAGCTCCCCGACTCAGGGATATGATAATGGTTATCTACAAAAAACAGCAGAAATTGTTAATACTAGCTACCATATTAAGACAAACTAAGACAGACTAAGACAAACCAAGACCAGTACTCATAAAAAATTATCAAGAATGTGTCTATACTAGCTTTGAATGTATGTTTTTGAGTAAATTGTATATTGTTGTTGTTGTTCTTGTTTTTGACAACCATACATGAACTACCACTGGAAACCATCCAGGCGAATGATCATTAAAACAAAAATTTCAGAATAGAATATTACTTACCGCAACCATTATTCCCACTATTCCAAAAAATATTATCTTCTTACATCTCTAAAAACCACCGCAAAACTATTGTCAGCAAATGTATAAAATCAACAGGAAAACAACACATGTACTGGCACAATTTCCACCCTCATGTCATGTGCCTCACCCCTAACCCTGACCAAATTAATTCAACTGCCCTGTTGCAAAGATATTGAGGAGACATGTAGACTGATGGGGTCCACATAATATTAGTCCTATACAATAGCCAATAGTACATGGTTCCTGTATATATATATATTATAGTAGTCTATATATGACCTCAAATCCTGGTGATTTTTATATCTCCACTTAAAAATAAACTAATGCATTTCTGAAACCTTATGAAACAACCATTTCTTCATGACTTTTTATCATTAGAAATAAACCGTCCTCTATCTCATAAAATCAAGATCAAAAATTGTATTATTCAATTTTGACCAAACAAAAAAACTTTGTATGGACGACATGCATCATGGAGCGAAAGAGATAGTCATAAAAAAAATGATGACTAATAAACTAACCGTTTTTTTCTCGTAGTAATCGTCAGGATACAAAGGCATCTGATCGTTAAAAGCGTTTACATTTTGAATATTCTCCACACCTTCTGTACTATCGTTGTCAATGTCCATGTTTACCGTCCACCCCGAAATCTCAAACCGGAACTAGAATTATGGATAGTCCCGGGGGGGGATGAACAGCAATACCCATACGCCTTGAAATCGTGAAAATACTTGAAAAAAGCTTCATTTTCCTATTTTACGCCTGATTTTCTCGCATATATGTATCGGTTATACCAACGTCGTCAATCAATCCTTTCTTGGTTGAAAATTTGCACAAAATCGTCTCGTACAAACAAAAGTTTCAAGCATATCAAGTCCTGTTGATAAACCCATCACATGACAATTTCACTAACAAAACACGTGCTTTCACCCCCCGGATTCTCTCTGGAATGCGCAAAACGCAGCCGCAAATTTCATCGCATTCTCGCGTTGTGGTCGATTAACAAAGTCCTCTTTAATAAATACAAAAGACAAAATGGATGACAATGATGGACCCTATTATGGAGGGACCAGTCCATTGAAGGTAAAAGTAAATGCACATTGCACAATGAAAGATCATGTACTGTATGCTTTGTTTGTAAAACGCGCCTTTGTAGTTCAAAAACAAATGCACCAATTATGAACGGTACCATAATATATTGTAAGCCAAATGATAATGAGAATCACGATATTGTATACGAGATTGTGTATAAAACACCTCGAGAACTACAATAATATCAAGGCGGAGCGTCTTCACCGCCTCATAAAATAACAAGTGTGCCTTAGTGGTTGCTTCCTTTATGGCTTCCTTAGTTTAATTACTTCAAGAATAGATCAATATAAATACACACGTTCAAATTCCAAATATTTGCAAGTGAATAAAAACGTACCCTGTTAGTGTTTTTTTACATTCAAGACTTCTTCAGCCCAATTGAAAGAAACTGCAATGTCTCTATGTAACCATTATACCTAATGCAATACAAATACACTAGGATTTCAACTATAGCCATCATTCATAAAACTCTTAAAATTTTCATGGTGAATTTTGCAATTTAATTCATTGATTCCCAGGTACACCATACGTGTGTATTTATTATATGCAGATATTTTTGTCCCTTAACCCGCTAGCTGCATGAGCCTTCATCAATTCCACTGATCAAGGCCGCAGTTAACAGATGTAAACCTGGATATCTAGAATCTGATGGGTGAATCCATACAAGAACAATGTAATTCGTACCGACATAACAATATTCATTTCTGCTTTAGTTGTGGCTTTTACGGATCTGGTTCTTGATTACGTTCCTTGCAGTTTCGGTGAGATCTGAATTGAAATTTCACATCACGCTACCTATGATGACTAATATATTTTTTTCTTCCAGATTGCATTTATCTTGGGTCTTGTTAAGGCTAAAGATGATCCAGTGCTATATCTACTAGTAGTCAACTTACTAGGTATAAATATGAATAATATAATTATCTAGTCGTATATTTTTATACTTGTAAAAGTATAGCAAGATAATGGCTATCATTAAACATATATTCTCCACCATTTCAAAACTTTTCATTTTTTTACTTTTTAGTGAGTGGAATAATTGGTGCAACTATTGTGAGTTCTGCAAATATTTTATTTTCAATCCTATTTAGTATTGCACTAAGGCCTACTTTGTCATATTTTGCTAACAAAAATTTATCAAAAGAAGGCTGAGACTAGAACAAACTTCACTTCCTAAAACTCAACAAATATTGTATTAATAAAGTCTATTTCTCTCCATAGGCTTGGTGGTTTCATAAGGATAAAATTGTAAGTTAATAGAAAAAATTCCTGCAAAGGTTTAATTTTACCTTCCAATGTGATTTAATACTCAGGATTCAATAAAGCACAATATGATTTTGAGGTATTGAAATAAGTCTTTAGGAAACAAAACGAAGACATGCTCTTGTCAGAATGACTGCGTCACTTGCTGGAGCATTTGAATACCTCAAAGTCATTTCATGCTACATTTGAAATAAAGAGAAAAGAGACATTTTAAGCCTTACCAGCAAAGCTTGAAAATTTTCTGCCTACCTGGTACCTTTTTTTTTGCAGAAATCGCAGAGCCTTTGCTTTGTACTTTTTGTTGGCATTTGTATTGTGTTCCAAGCGGTAGTATCTGACGTGTATCTTTATCATAATCCAAACACATCGAGTAATGGAGATGTGAACCCAGTGAATGTGAACAATGCCAGCTCAATAATAAGTCCATCAACTCCTGCACAGCTCATGGCACAAATGACAAATGCAATTCACTAATGACTTATGCAATTATTATGCCATGGCATGGCATATGAAATATGACATTCCATTTTACCAGGTTTTCACTTGAATGTGAGAATCACAAATATACCATAATTGTAGAATATGTAAGTGTCATCTGTGATGATTATATAGAAATTAGAAAAATCCAATCCCCTGTGATTTATAATTAAAGCTATTAAAATTATCAATCTTAACTGGTTGAAGCAAACTTTATTTAGTTGTCTATAATTGTGAAAATATTTTTTCATTAATTTCAAGCAATTACCAGCCCAAAATTTGATGTAATATTTAGACTATTTTTTGAAATCATTCAAAAACAAATTGATATACTCTCTAATTCAAACTGTTCAACTTATCACAAGTTTTGCCAGATTCAAACTGTTCAACTTATCAAGTTTTGCCTGGGAAGCTGCGCTGGTCTAGGAAGAAAAAGCCTTCACAAATTATCACATAAAAAATACGTTTCTCGACTTTATTTATTTGTTTACAATCAATTAAACAATATACTTCCACTAGTGCAACTAAGAAATTGTAACATCCATTAAATTCACACGTATCTGGACCCAAAACTAGCTAAACACAAGATTCCGCACAACACGACTCGATTTCTCAGGTCTTCAGAAAGAAATAAGTTTAATTAAAAAATCGCAAATTAGAGTTGCTTTGTCTTCATAGGTTCCAAATTTTCATCAAGGGTTTAGTTTTGTTCGAGGAATTGAACGGAATCGTGATGGGTTGCCAAATCATGTTTTCTGTGCTAGTGCTATACTTAAATCTTCTAAACACCAACTTTAACCTGGCCTTGCGCTGTATTATTTATTATTTAGACTTTATTCATTAACTGCTACGTAATAAAAGTTCCTCAAACCGTCTAACAATCCCAATATATATACAAGTTAATCAATATGCAAAATATCAACTAATGCTAAAATTACACTTCTTTTTTTCCCACTCATTTTCATTGATTTTCTGTTAAAAATGGCTGAAATAACCTGAATTAAATATTAATCAACTGATCCCATTTTAAGCCGTTAAGCCTAAACTTTGATTAAGATACAAGTACCAAGACTTTACCTACTTTAATTCATAGTGATACTGTTATTTTTTTTGAATGCTTTTTAGAAATATTTTGTTTCGCTTAGCTGTTCACTCAACTACTTTATTTATAACCTATCGACGCGAACCATGCAACACAGTGCGGATAAACCTCATCATTTGCCAACCGCTCAAGTTTCGCTTAAAAAAAGATAGCAAATTCGCAAAACATTTTTTGCATGAATGAAGTTTGCGTTTTATAAGTTTGCGTTTTATACAACTACATTTCTATTTGAATTTGCAATTTAGCCAATGTACAATAATAAACAGTTTGTGCTTTTTGAGACTACAGTAAGACTCCATTACCGCTTACTTATAGAGATCATCAGAACCCAAATACAAACAAACGCGAACTATAGCTTATACTAAATTACTAATCACTTTCTCCCCGTCTACTACTGCCTTGAGCCTCACTATATCGAGGTTGAGTAAGGCCGGGTTTACAAAATAATTTTTGTGATTACAGTTAGGATATTGTACCATGCACGTAAATTCTAGATTTTAAAAGCGTTGTAGCAGATATTAGGGTGAAATATAATTTTTCAATTTTTCTTAATTCAAATACTATCAAATAATTTCAAACTCTCGCGTGTGAAATATTTCAACTGTGATCACAAAAAACAGTGTAGACTGGGCCCGGGTTCTATATCAAATTAGCTATCGCCAAGGACAATAGTACAACTCTTTACAAAGCCGCTGGGAAGCTGTGTCTCGTCAGGAGCCACCCCCTACACTCCAAATTCCCACATACTCGAGAAACTCGGATGAAACTCATATATCTCAGAATTCTCATTGTCAAACATGAAATTAGATTCGCTATTTTTGGTATTTTATTTTACTTCCCAGTGGCTGGACTTGCACCATCCTTCCCTGTACAAATCTACATACACTGGCAACTGAACACTTCAGACATACGAACCGACATGAAACATAGGACGCTACCATTACATTTACCAACGTATATCTTGTATATCATGTAAAATACTATAAGTGTATTCGTATTCGCTCGCAATACGAAATAGTTTCACAAGCATTTGTAACTTAGTAAATGCGGACAACAGATCTCCTTCCACTTCCTTTCTTAAAATTTCCCTCTTAAATTCTTTTGATTATTTTACAGTTTTTCAGTTCGTATTATAGCAACTTTTTCGAAGCAGTTTCTTTTTCGAGGCATTTGCTTATTCTTCGATGCGTGTAGCTATATAACTTACGTTTCTTCTGTGTGTTATTTGTTTTTGTATATGTAAATATGTAATCGGAGGAATGCCTCGCATGGGATCTCGTGTCCCGTTTGCATTTTCTCCGTTTGAATATGTTCAATAAATTTGTTATATTAATTTCTGATTTTAGCGATCTTTTAGAAACCTTGTTTAGAAACTGTCCTGATCTATTCTGCGTTTGAATTTTTCTCTTCTTCGCAAGAAAAAGCAAAGTCAGGACACGATGAATGTCCATGTCTTTTCGTGTAAAAATGATCACTTTCATTGCGCTATCTTTCGCTTAGTTTTAGTGTTATTTTTTTTATTTTTTTTGCGCCAAAAAATGCTTAACTTCTCCCAAATAATTTTTAATTTTAACCTCCAACTTTGCAACCATAGATGTAGCTATCATTTAGTATATGTTTTCTAATCATGTACAAAGAGTTTTCTGGGTCTCAATTCATGCACAGGAAAACGTTATTTACTTTTGATACGAATGTCGATTGTATACTATACAGTCAGAAGATAATTTGCTGATTAAATGTATTTATACTGAACGCCAATCGAGTAAGCAGATTATAGAATACCCACTATTGCTGCTGATACAGCGAAACAGACGCGGCAATAATGAAGTAAAGTTTATCGTGATCCATACAGGAGGATTACAACAGTTATACCAGTTCTATCCAGCAAAAAGTGCAAATTCACTCACGTGAACTCAGGTTGTGCACTTATCAATGTGCTCTTCAAACGGCCGCCTCTCGTGCGATGCGAAGACTCGTTCGCAGCGAGGGCATTTGAGGGTTGCCGCTGGACCGTCACAGTCGACCTCGCAGCCGTGGCACAGCCCGCCAGGATGGCCGTTTCCAGCCTGAACGCGGGCGTGTAGTGGCTAAAAAACACAGCAGAATATTTGGCGTGAATACGACGCGATGCATAATGCAGTAATATGTTTCATTTCGCTCGAGAACGGAAGAAATACGAGTGCAATTAACCCCTCGTATCCAGCCTCGTACAATTACTTCAGGAAGAATTTTTCGCGCACTTTCTTTCGCCGCGTTTTTTTTCTCACCCGCTTAGCAAAAGTCGAGTACATTACACCAATGACTTCAATGACACTAACCTGCTGTTGTTGCTGATAAGCTATCTCCTGGATTTCTCTGGGCGAGTAACGATACGCTCTATTATCTTGCGGGTATGCAGGCTAGAATTGGAAGAAATATGAGATAAAGGGAAATAAATACAGTTTTCATTTTGTAATTAAAGATCTATCAAGTACGACAAAGGGCAAGATGATTTTTCGATGGTCCACTTTTCCTCCCAAATACGACAACTGACCATTGTTTCTGCCGGCTCAAAAATGGAGGTCGTGCTATCGTTCCAGTTTGCATAGAGGTCACTGGCTAATGTAGAAGAGAATCAAAAAGACGCACCCTGTCACCTACCTGTCGACGAGGATGCATAGTGATGTAGTCAGCAGGCGGTACTCTGTACCACGGTTCCTCAGCAGGGACCTGGAGATGACAATAAGTACAATATAATAAGCGAAACTATCACCATACCAACACAGAGTATAGAGTCTGCCAGAGGGCTCGCTTAAAGCAATATTCGTCGACAAATTATCGATGATAGACAGGCTGTTCTCTTCTGAACTATAGTTAACACTTTCTATATCTTTCTATACAGACGGCCCAGACCTCTCACCTGGACATCCGGTCTCCTCTCCCTCAGCTGTCTCTGGAGTCTCTCCTTGTCGCGTCTTTCGTTGTCAAAATCATCGCGATAAATCTGAATCTGTGTGCGAACGAAATGAATATCAACAAAACTAGTTTCAACACGCTAGTTTCTCATCAAGATAAGCGACACAACAAACCTGTTCCTTCAGTAACTTTATTTCTCTTTCAAATTCCTTCAGTCGCTCTTTTTGTGCCTCTCTGTCGGCCTGAATACGCTCGCGATCAGAACGCTCGTTTGCAAAATCATCAGCATACACTGCCACTTGCTGTTTTAACATCTCAATCTGCTCCGCATTCCCGCCGTTCATCGATACCAAAGAGGAACTAGCCACAGGCTGTAAATGTTCGTAAAAGCAATAAGTACGCATTGTTATGTAGGTTCTGTGTATTTTAAATGTGATTGGTTCATTCGTAGTCACATGACTTGAAATAAATGCAATGTTTCCCGTTGCCCGCTTTTTGTCATAAAAAAGTAAAGTGGTTTTTTTTAAATGTTTTTGTTCCTATATAACAAAACACTTAATGTACACTATCTCAGGAAATAGTGAGTTTTGTTTTCCCTCGAGACATTCAGACTCTTGGGAAAACAAAACTATTTCCCTTACATTAAGTGTATAAAATAAACATAGTAGTTTGAGAATAAACATAGTTAAGGTCCGTTTCCACTGGCAATTTTTGCTGAGATTTTCTTCTTTTGGTAGATGTGAACGAGTGAACTATAGTTACTGATGTCATCGACGCAAGTAGATGAAAAATAGCTTACTTGCTGTAAGGAGGCCCCAGCGGAAGTTAATCTTTCAATTTCTTGTCGAAGTTCTGCTTGATTTTGTTTCTCGATTTCAAAGAGACCTTGAAGATGTTTGATGTGTTCCTCCGCCGCCTATTAATGCGAATAATATGTTCAAGAAAATTTCACTAAAAAAGGTTTTCCCCGTTGATTCCTATAGAGATTTACTATTTCCTATAGACACAGTTAAAGCATCAAAGAATCACAGTACCGCTTTCATCTGCAAGGCCGCTTCTTTCGCCGCTTTCTCTTCGCTGATCATTTTCTTGGCTGCTGCCCATATTTTATCGCGTTTCTTCTGCTCTTCCACAAGCTCGTTGACTTTTTTAACGAGCTTGTCGTTTTCCATGGTTACCTCGTGAATTATCCTTGCACTGTCTTCGTCGGGCTGCCGGGACCTTGGATCAACATTCTTCGCCTTGTCCAGTTCATCAGCAAGTCTCGCTGTTATTTGCTCAAGCTCCGCGTTCTTCCGCGTCAGCTGCTCGATTACTTTCGTCATCTCGGCGATCGTGGCATCGTCGGGGGCTTGTCGTTGTGTTTCGTCGATTTCCCGCATTTTCCCAGATCTCTGGCGGAGTTGCGAAGCCAAACGATCTTTGTCAGCCTTCAGCTGTCGGTACTGATCGTCCCATTGATGATTTACCATTAAGAGCTGAAAGAAAACCAAAACTCTGGGTTATCTCTAAACAATCCCCTAATTCCATGTCCTGAATCCTAATCCACGAATATAATCTTTAATCTAATGCTTTAAAGTCAGCACGGATTAGGGTCAGGTTTGGGATTAAAATTAGGATGATATATTGGTGGATTTCGGACTGGAGTGGAATGAAATTACGAGCTAGCATTACCTCTTCTTTTTGTTTCTTCAGCATGTTAACTTGATCCTTAATACCATTATTGTTTTCTATCAACTAAAAAAATATAGTAATATACCATTTAGTAAACGATAATTTGGAAAAGTGAATCTGCTTTGAAAAATAATAACGGTACTTAAGAAAGTAGCTGGAAATAGTTTTATGTTAAACGTGGTATGGATACTCTTTTTGCAGGATCTCTCTCAAATGTAGTCATCTATGTATCCTAAATTTTTACCTCATCAATACGTTTGGTCATCAAGCCATTTACATGCTCTAGTTGACGTAATTTGGCCGAAGGACTCAATGAAATGTCTTCACCACCAGCTGTGACCAGCTGAAATTGTTCCATCGATGATTTGTGTGTACGATCCTAAATAGCATTGGATTAATCATGAGAGATAACAACCACAACAACAGGAGTTTTTATGGATCAGTTGCATGTTTCAATGAAAACCAAGTCACTTCTGATTTTCATACTACCACCATCGTTACCTTGATTAGTTCATGTTCCTTCAACGACTGTGTTGGTGGAATTCAAATCTAAACCTAACACGACTACACAAAAAATGGCCTAATGTTTCATCTTACCGGACCATATCCACGGGGAACATCTTCTAAACGTTTCTCCGCTTCTCCTGCCATTTGTTTGTGAATGATCTCCAATTCGGCCTGCTTCGAGTGTAATTGTTCATCGTACTTTTCCATAAGTTCAACCTGGGGAATGAGAATGGAAAAACCACGCCTAAGTACCGATCTTGAATTACGCGAGTGCCCTACTAATGGATCCTTACCACAAATTGTTCGTATTTTGAACTCATTTTTTCCTCTTTAATAGAAAGACCTTTAAAATCCGACAACAACTGGTTCTCGCTGAGAGGATCTGTATTTCTTGTCGGCACGTCGACATTTCCTAATCCACCTGGTTCAACAGGGAAAGACCTGCACTGATTCGCAAGTTGCAAGATTTCTTTTTCAACATCACGCGTTTCTTCACACTTGGCTTTCAAACATTCGCCTTAAGAAACATAACATAAGTTAGCAATTTCATCTCATCTGCATTAAAGTTAGTTTAGTTTACAGTAGGCTTTTTTCTGTAGTAACACTGGATCAATAGAGCTATCCAGTATAAATAAAGTTCGTTTAGTTTAGGTTTCCTCCTGTAGTAGCACTGGATCAATAAGAGATGATCCTTACTGGACCTCTAGGAAGAACAGTTTAGAACTGATAGAGCTATCCAGTTTAAATATAGTTAGTTTAGTTTAAGTTTCCTCCTGAAGTAACACTGAATCAATAAGAGATGATCCTTACTGGACCTCTAGGAAGAACAGTTTAGAACTGATAGAGCTAAATATAGTTAGTTTAGTTTAAGTTTCCTCCTGAAGTAACACTGGGTCAATAAAAAATGATCAAAACTAGCCAAATTTCCTTGTATATCTTAGGAAGTTAACAGTTTACCATAATTAGTCAAATACAAACACTGTACAATTTCTTACAAACACTTACCAAGTGCGCTAATTTTCCTCTTGTGTTCCTCTAACACACTTATTTCTTTCGATATGCGATCAATTTTCGCGATTATTTCTTTTTTACAATCATTTTCAACATATGTAGCTTCATCAATGTCCATAATTCGAAGTGTTTAACGCGATTGCTTATAAGCAACGTTTATGTAAACAAATCATTGTTCTAGGAAAAACAGATAACTTATAAGCAAATACATTTTAACAGCTGAGAACGAATTCTAATAATTCAGTGATGTGAAAGTGCTTACATCCGCATCTTAACCAGCCAAAACTGCTTTAAACTGGGTTGCGGTTAACAAGAAACCCATGCAACTATCATAAGCTAAGTCATATTCTAAGAAATTCTCATCCCAGTGGTAAAATTGAAATGACGAAGTTTCGTTATATTCCCTCAACATCGCATGCTTACAAAAATTAATATAACGAAAATTATACATATGTTATATAGCATTATACATCAGAATAGACATGTTATACAGATTATACGGGACATATATGCTTTCGAGTTGCTTTCATGTGCAGTGATTGCGATAAATAATTACGTCTCGTGAAACATATATAAGGAGAGATTATATTGATTTGTATTATCTATGAAATGTCTAATTTCATCGTTAATTGCATCGTTATAAACAGTTATATAATTAAAGTAAATCTGACCTAAAAAAAAATAAACTTGGCTTAAAGTGGGATAAATATTCATCAAATGTCTAAAAATAAAAGTCAAATAACAACATAGGAAGTTTTTATCTATGTAAAGATATTTTAAGTTTGAAATAGTCTAAAAACATTGTCCAACTCTAGAATACCCGTGAAAAACCGATGTCATACAGTGTGTCACTAAAATGTCACTATAAACTTTACGTTTGCCTGTAATTTTTGATAAAAATTTTGAAGGCAAAACGCGGAAGATATTTTTCTATATATGTCCGGAGGGTAACAAAGAATTAAAATAAATTATTAAAATGCTATTTTCGCTGAAAATTAGCAGTGAGAGGTCTGCCAAAATTTGCTCTCTTGGGAATTTTCAATGGGGTAAAAAATAAAATGTAGGCTAATACAATTAGAGTAACATTATCAGAAACCAGCCACAGTTCGGCTAAATTTCCTTCAAAACTAAATTTCCTTCTCTGCATTAGAGATATCTCTTCTAGTAAACGGATGCAGAACTATTCAATCCTTTCAAACATCTATCTACAATAAACTTTTTATAGAATCGGTTAACATCTTTCCTATATGTACAATTTTCAAGCCCAATTCCAGCATTTCATATTTCATGTAAAAGTCGATGAACAAGACAGATCATTTTGATGGTATGCACCTCGTATGATGAAGATGATGCAAGACTTGCTTTTACAATTGCTAGCTAATTAGTAATGAAAGAATTAAAAAGGATTTTTAAAAAGGACGTTTCACAAAACGCTGCATTCACGCGACGTAGAATATGGAGTGGGTAAGATTTGACATTTAACAGCAACATAACTTACCGTTGTTTTGACGTTGTTGATATAAGATTCTGTAGTGTATACCTTTCGTTGCAGAAACGTGCTGAGGTAGCTTCCCCAAATCATGATTTGCTTAACTAGCCTAAGTTAAGCTTCTAAATTTACACACGGTGTGTAATATATATGACGTAACCTCAGAGCCCTGCTGGTGTTTATCACGAGAAAAGAACCGAGAAATGTGTGATTTTAGGCTAGCAGTTTAGGCTTCTCGTTATCATCAAGCATCGCAAGTGTTCAGAAAGAAAATACGTCTATGTCTTCCGTTTCATTATTTACGCTAAAGGAAACCTTGGTGTAAATTTTATTAATATCAACAAACGTCATTTGGGGAAACCCTTTGCATAATTAGTTATAACGCCGGAAGTATCATGTTTTGAATTTTTATGATTGGTGTCACGATTCTTGTCTATTATAGTGAATATACCACGTTCTGAAATCTATTATATACTATATTACACGCGTAGTTCTTTGTGATTGAACGAGATGGTGATGAAATCAATCTTATTTACACAGTCCTAAACTTACACAGCCATCACTAGAAATATCGCTTCTTCTGTCGGGTACAAATTGTTTTAGCCTGCATAAGGACGTAAATAGATAAGGATACGTCCTGTTCGCGCAAACTACAAACTGTTAAGCTCGTCATCAAAACAAGAATATCGCTTCGCTTAGCGTGTAAAATGTCAAATAATAATTTAGCAGGTTTACGCAGGTATAGAATTTGCCTATTCACAAACATTAACAACGCTAGTAAAACTGATCTCATGCAGGTTCAAGCGGTTCACTGTAATGCGAATGTGCGATGTCTAAAGTAAAGACTGCTTTTCATTTCACAGAGAAATTAAATAAATGAACAACTATCAGAATACCATTCGTTTGCCCTGTATATTGATGAAGACCATCATGACCGCATGAGCAGATTTTAAGAACGTCGCTTCGCCTCATCGACAAAGGAATTTAATTTAGCAAACAGAGAGTGCGATTATACGAGTATTGTAAATAGAAATAATCTTCGCCGTCTTACAACGTGGCTGTTGTCTATTTTTTATGAAATTTCGATGAGTGAAACGATTCTTATTAAATGCAAAGCAATATCGAGTTCCTGCTTGGATCCGATTGCAAGAAATAAACGGAAAAATAAAAGAATATAGCTGTATTTAAAAGACAGGATTTGATATCTGTTCAGTATCGTCTGGACTACATATCTTTGCATATATATACATATTTAGCTACATGACATATGCGATTTCGGTGTTAGATGCATGACGTCGCAAGACCCCGCGCCATGTGGTCAACATGTGGCCAGTACAACGTGTCAACATTTTTTATCAGTAGAACTACTTTGGTCTGCCTAAAACGCTTACTCTTCTATTCATAAAAATAAAAGCTAATCTTGATATGTATTTTATGCAACGTGACACTGACAGTAAAGATCTAAGCATTCAAAGGGAACCAAGACGACCTCTGACACGTTAAATTTAATACATTATAGTTATATGAAATTTTCGCCACTTACCGCATATCTATACATCTATATATCTCAGATGCTGAGAAAATCCAAACTGCATTTGACACCTTTAATATATCTTGTCATCATTTCGTCTATATATTCACGCGACTTAACTGTCTTAAGCCGAAAATAACAGTTGCAAAACGAATGCGATGCATAAAAAAATTGACAGAACGAACGAGATTATTCGTTACAAAATTCTTTCAAGTTGTACTTGAGATATCCAATGGCAATATAATATGAAAATTTTGGCAGTAAAGAATAAACTTTTCGAAGCTCTACGAGTTTGCTTTCTACCGTAAGTATGGCAGAAATGTCGGAAAACGAGAAAACAAGATATTCAAATCTAGGATGTTTTGAAATGAGTGGAACTCAAATTATTCGAATAACGTAGTAAATGTCAATAAAAACCGTTAAATATTTGGCAATTAAAACACAACTTGGCTATTAACGCACCAGAAATATTTCACGACCGTCATATTCTTCGAAAACACGCAGAAAATGCGAATTCGGTAAGATTGTAAATATGATAATCGTCTCTTTTTGATCGCTACTCTTCAAGTAGTTTTATGCCCAAAGATGGAGTCAAACCGTTACAAAACGTCAAAGCCAAAGGGGAAAACTCTTGTATAAACCTCTCGATTCTAAAAGAAAAAACTCCATATCCAGTAATACACATGACACGCACGCACCTTAGCTTATCAATGAAACTTTCATATTTAAAACTGCCAATAATGGCTTTCTGTGGTATTAATGGGGTTAAGATGTCGCGTCGGAGGATACAGCCAATGGCCAAATTTAGAAGTAATTCCATCTGCAGCCGTATTTTACAGGTGCGCCAGGAAATTGGAATCCGAGTATTGACAAATGATTCATCTATTTAGCAATTCAGTATTTATTCATACAACATTTTCCCTTGGGAAAGCCCTTAGCTATTCACACCTCAGTGCCCACGCTCTTATACAACAAAACTGAAACAAAATCACGACTTCTTTGGTTGGAGAGTCCCTAATTCGAAAATTACTAAAAAAATGTATACGAAGCATCATGTCACTTTCGTTTACCAACGAATTCGAGTTTTAACCGATGAAAACTGGAGATTAAGACAGGATTGCCAGGAAGACAAAAGAAATCCAACTGTGGTAATGTATTACAACCCACGCGAAACATCTTAAAACACAACGGGAAATTAATTTGAAATTCAAATTTCTATCTTGCATAATACGCAGTAGATTCATTATATATGATATAACATCTGGATGAAATCTTCTCGACGTTTCGACCTAAGGGCCTTCATCAGAAAATGAAAGAGAATCTTCATAAACAACAAATTTCAGACGCACGTATCTTTAGTTGCTAAAAGGCCATTGCAGAGTCTGAAAGATATTATCCTTCACATAAAGTGCTGATTGGTGGTTGGTCAGATAAAGGGGGTAGTGGTTTAGACAGAGTGGTTGAAATGGTTCCAACGGTTGTGGCAGTTGGTATGGTTGGAAGCTGCAGTGGTTGCACAAATTGCATTGTTGGGATACTTGCACCATTTCCAGTTTCAAGATTTGCACTGGTTGCAATAGTTACAACAATTGCAATATTGCAGTGGTTTATGTCATCAGGACAATAGACCTGGTTTAGAAAGTTGAGGACTTGCATGGGTTGTCATGTTGAAGTACTTGCAACAATTGCATTGATTTGGACTTGGTTTCAGTTGTTGCAAAGTGTTTCATCAGTTTCAATGTTGCAGCACATCCTCAGGACCATTGACATGGTTCAGGAGTTGCAGTGCTTGCAACAGTTTGGTACCAGTTTTTAGAGGTTCCTCCACTTGATGTTGTCATGACCATGTGGAAGTGGTTGCACTTCATCACTATCTTTAAAAATCTTCCTGGATGCACCCTCTGCAACAGTTGAAGTCCTTGCAACGGCCAATTAGGAACAACCTATCACATCCACCTCCCAAGCACTGCAGGAGAACAGGAAATCTCCATCAAGCTATGCAAATTACTACTCATATTTCCATTCAATCTACCTGTAATACACAAGAATAACTTTAACACTCCTGGAGGAAACTAGCCTTATTCAGAGTATAGGATATGGATATTATCCAAAGTATTTCTGCCTTCATCACTTTGATACAGAGGACATGTGATTTGCCTTCAACATACAAAATGACTTGTTGCTCGCATTGAAGACTCGCATCTTTTTAGCCACTGTTGCATCACTGGCAAAACACATAACAAAAGCTGATATAACATACTTTCACACAGACAAAAGCAATCAACTATCTACTCAGGGTAAATGACTAGCCACTTGTGACAGTCTGACTTGATTTCAGTTAAAGGATTACAACTTTTGAGTGGATTGCAAAAGAAAAGTGTTAGCCAGTATTTTTTTAATACTCGAAAAAACCTGGGAAACATCAAATTGTTCCTTCTTTATCCTATGGGCATATAGTAAATAGCCTGCAGAATGTCCCAAAGCAATATTGCAACATCCTGAGTATTGGGTAAGGTGTCTTACAAGAAAGGAAAATTTTCAATAACTCCTTCAATTTTTTTTTGTTGATTTCTGCATGTTAACATCAACTTAGACTGCCGACCTGTTAGAAACACAAGGTATTGTCCACAGTAACAATCACGCTGAACAAACTCATCCAAACCACTTAACTGTGATTCCACCAAATGTTTTTTAAACACAAATCATTCACTACCCAAATGTATGACATGGAATATACAACCATCAATATGAGACTACAACAAAGACAACTAAAACTTCACTAATATTACTAATATAATACCATCAAAGGCCGGTTATATTGGACTGAAAATATTTCACACAGTTTACCTTCTGTATTTGGTCTAAAATACGGCAAATACAGATTTCCCACCATCCATCTTCGACAACAATAAAGACTACCAAAGCGCATGTCGCATCAACTCTGATATCAGAGTTACAGTCACCCAATATTTTTCGGTAATCTGTTGTATTCTCTCAATAAATAAGCCAATATTTAGATCCAACAGGCTCACAAGCATAGGAGCTTGACCTAAAACTAGCAGTACGCACTTCATACGTGTACATCCAATCACAACAGTATATATAATTAACGAATCTTCCATGTATATAGAATAACATACCACTACACTTTTTTTCATTGCCTATACAATGAATAGTGCCTTGTACAGACCAAACCGTTATGTGAGAATTTAAAAATATGAAAATTTACTGTGCGGACACTGTCACAATATCGAAATCTACAAAAAAACAAAGCGCTCTTTGCCGTAACCCCCTGCTATGTGCAAGAGTACTTTATATAGATATACATGACATTTGAGTAGCTTCAACTTTGTGAATAGTAAATTAGATTTCTAAGAAATAATTGAAAATTATATTTAAATAACAATACCATTTCTTGGAAGTGAAACATGGTAGTTCCAGTAGAATATTCTTCGATAAAAGTTGATGTGGCTGCTTAGAATTTTGTGTGGTTAAGGTCTTGAGGAAAATATTGCATTCCACTTTACGGAACGGAAATCAGCTCTAAAGAAGCATTCCGGAACTGGCCAGAAAACTATAAATCGTGGATTGCGATAGATCCATGCCTTTTATTATAAATGCGTAGGTACTAGGTAGCAACAACCTTACTTCGATTATTTGCAAATTAAAGAATTTTCCCTATTTGTACTTATGTAAAAGCTCTTTTATGCCCTTTTTAAGTCATGCTGGGCAACGATGCAACAAGCAACGCATCCAAAACATTAATGCGTTTCAATCTATGTGAAAATAAACAATGCTATGCTTATACAATACATAGCATAGCTTTTGAAACGAAATGCTCGCAGGAAACGCGTCAAAGCAGTACAATAACATGTTGTTGCCAGCTGAAACTCGGCCAAACAAAGCTTTGTTTGTATGATGCTATCGTTATAAATTGTTTACACCTATGTTCCAGAGGGAAAATCCCATATATAATCTGTAACGTAATTTGCCTAAATTCCTTGCAAACTCGTACTATAACCTATCAATTTGAAGTTCGGAAAACGCACTTTCAAATGCGCGTACTTTTGTGACCTTAAACCGTACGAGGATGCAGTAATTTGGACAAACATTTCATAAACGGCTGAACGATCAATGCACTTACCTGTTAGCGATTTCGCCGCTACAAATCGTTGTAAATTCAGCTTGCTTCGGCAGTATATATTCATACCCAGCCAGAAGAAGCCGAAGGGTAAATTTTTAGGCAAAAACCACGTAAAATCCGAAGGAAGATAACTTCCTAGAAACCATCTGGCCGTTCATGGCAATTCAAATCTAGTAAATTTTAATTATAGTTCCCAGTACTTTTGCGCGGCCAAACATGAAAACGATGGGGGTTTCCGGCAAAGAGCTGATGTGAAAGATGATACAAATTTAAATCCTCGACACTAAATGCACTCTGCATTGTATCAAAAACCAAAAAAACAATGAGATTTGTATTACGGCATCTCGACTCGGGATTCAGTCTGCCTACAAAATGCGTAGTTGGCGTAGTCGGCGAATCGTATGATTAAACTATGATTGACAGACGCTGATAATTAAAATTTAAATATGACCGGAATTCGTAAAACGCGGACGCGAAAAAACACGGAGTGCGGAAAGGAACAATACGGACTCAACCCAAAATACGAAGTCACAGGTCACAAGAACGGTACACCGTCGTTCCGAAATAGTCTCAATGACCCAATCTGTTTTTTAAACTCCCTATTTTGAAATTCGGATTGAGATAGCAATGGCGGGTATCTCGCAAGTTTTGCGTAATCCGTGTCCAGTGGCAGTGTCCAGTATGAGTGATTCATTGAAATTCTCCAGACATGTTTTGTGTTGCCTTAGAAACCGTAAGCTCACCAACATCGCAAGCGTTGTTTTACCAACGAGAAGCTCTAGATATTGCTTTAAATCTCTTTTTTTCGCACCTGTAACTAGCGAGTTTACTCTTACTGTAGAATG